GTTGGTTAAGAAGAACTCAAAAGTAGATGTGTTCCCCCATTTCTCGCTTTAGCAACACATTCAATGCCAACATGTTGGTTAATAAGAACCCGAGAGTAGATGTGCTCCCCCATTTCTCGCTTTAGGAACAACTTCAAAGCCAATATCTTGGTTAAGAAGAACTCAAGAGTAGATGTGTTCCCCCATTTCTCACTTTAGGAACACCTTCAAAGCCAACATGTTGGCTAGGAAGAACTCGAGAGTAGATGTGTTCCCCCTTTTCTCGCTTCAGGAACACCTTCAAAGCCAACATGTTCATTAAGAAGAACTCAAGAGTAGATGTGCTCCTCCATTTCTCGCTTTAGGAACACCTTCAAAGCCAATATCTTGGTTAAGAAGAACTCAAGAGTAGATATGTTCCCCCATTTCTCGCTTTAGGAACACCTTCAAAGCCAACATGTTGGTTAAGAACTCAAGAGTAGATGTGTTCCCCCATTTCTCGCTTTAGGAACAACTTCAAAGCCAACATGTTAGTTAAGAAGAACTCAAGAGTAGATGTGTTCCCCAATTTCTCGCTTTAGGAACACCTTCAAAGCCAACGTGTTGGTTAAGAAGAARTCGAGAGTAGACYTGTTCCCCCATTTCCCGCTTTAGGAACACCTTCAAAGCCAACATGTTGGRTAAGAAGAGCTCGAGAGTGTATGTGTTCCCCCATTTCTCACTTTAGAAACACCTTAAAAGCCAACATACTGGTTAAGAAGAACTCAAGAMTAGATGTGTTCCCCCATTTCTCGCTTTAGGAACACCTTCAAAGCCAACATGTTGGCTAAGAAGAACTCAAKAGTAGATGTATTCCCCCATTTCTCGCTTTAGGAACACCTTCAAAGCCAAGACGCTGGTTAAGAAGAACTCAAGAGTAGATGTGTTCCCCAATTTCTCTCTTTAGGAACACCTTCAAAGCCAACATGTTGGCTAAGAAGAACTCAAGAGTAGATGTATTCCCCCATTTCTCGCTTTAGGAACACCTTCAAAGCCAAGACGCTGGTTAAGAAGAACTCAAGAGTAGATGTGTTCCCCCATTTCTCGCTTTAGGAACACCTTCACAGCCAACATGTTAACTGAGAAGAACTCAGGAGCAGACATGTTCCCCCATTTCTCTCTTTGGAAACAACTTCAAAGTTACCATATTGGTGGAAAATAACTCAAGTAAATATGTGTTCCCCCATTTCTTGCTTTAAGAACACCTTCAAAGCCAACATGTTGGCTATGAGTAGCTATTAAGTGACTTGTCTTATGGAACATCACCACGAACCATGTCAGTCAAGTATAATTCTCAAGAGGATGTGTGTTCCCTCATTTCTTGCTTTAGGGCACACACAAGTCCACAACGGCCGTGAACGTATTTCCCCTTACTTCAGAACACAAAAAAGGCCAATTGTGGGACATCACAAGAATCCCCCTCAAGGCCAGATTCCCAGCACAGGATGTACAGCTCTCTAAATGACTGAAACATAAAATGTAACAACATATTTCCACTTATAAGCCCAAGATTATAGAACTCAGCTGATGTGGAAACACACTGGCAATTAAATGCTGCTAGGATGGTGATAAGATTTTGTTTTCTTCAACGATCAAAACCTTACATGCATAAATATTTTTAAAAAACCAGTTGAAAAGAGACCTCTAAATGTTTCTTTAAGCCAGCAAGGACGTAGTATTTCTTGGTCATTAACCGTTCAGAATGTAACGGTCCGGTGCCTTTTTAATACCACCGAAGGGGGATTTCACTTAGATTTTCTGTTCGAAGAGGTCGTGGTGCTCCTGTTCCTCCAACTCTCTGTTGTACTTTTCAATCTCACGGTTCGCTTCCTCCAAGTAGTCATTCATGAACTGGTCCATCACTGATGCAAAAGTAATAAGGAAAATAAATTCTTCTGGATTCTGGTAACCAACCCCAATGCAAAGCAAGGCTAGACCCAATTTTAGGTGAATTCTTAGAATCATAGAATCGTAGAGTTGGAAGAGACCTCATGGGCCATCCAGTCCAACCCCATTCGGCCAAGAAGCAGGAATATTGCATTCAAAGCATCCCTGACAGATGGCCATCCAGCCTCTGTTTAAAAGCCTCCAAAGAAGGAGCCTCCACCACACTCCGGGGCAGAGAGTTCCACTGCTGAACAGCTCTCACAGTCAGGAAGTTCTTCCTAATGTTCAGATGGAATCTCCTTTCTTGTAGTTTGAAGCCATTGTTCCGTGTCCTAGTCTCCAGGGAAGCAGAAAACAAGCTTGCTCCCTCCTCCCTTAATTCTTGAAGATGATCCAAAGGAGTGGCTGAGATGGGAAATCCAGAGCAGATGTGCAAGTCTTCCAATGTGTTGCAAGTTGAGTACAGAGTTACAGAGAATCTTGGAAAGAACATCTCTCTAGTACAGTGGTTCTCAATGTGTGGGTCCCTAACTTTGTGTTTTGTCCTACAACTCCCGTAAATCCCAAGACTATTTATCAGCTGTTAGGATTTCTGGGAGTTGAAAGTCAAAACATCTGGGAAACCACAGGTTGAGAACCACTGCTCTAGTAAAGTCTATGTCTCAAGTGTAATCCTATGGTCAACTTTCAGTGGAAGGTGACTGTAGAGTCTAAAATCTCTAGAGAAATGTCTTCTCAGGTTTACAATTTTTAAAAATCATTTTTGCACATCTGCACTCCTAACCACAAAGAACTGACTGTATTTTCAAGCGATAGATGGTGGAATTCATGGATGCAAAATCTGGGGCCAATTGCATGTTAAACTGATAAGAATTATATTTGACCAGCTTTGGAACTACAATTTTATTATTATGAGTCCCCTTTGGGGAGATAAAGTAGGATATAAATAATGATAATAATAATAATAATAATGATAACAACAACAACAATTAGCCATCCCCTGCCACGCGTTGCTGTGGCCCAGTCTGTGTATATGTATTTTTATGTATATGTATTTTGTATATATATGGGTATATATTTGTGTATATGTGTATAAATGTGTTTATATATATATATATATATATATATATATATATATATATATATGGTTTTGCGCATGCGTTGCAATGTGGGGTTTTTGTTTTTTGGCTTTTTAAATCTCTTCTGCTGTGTTTTTCAGTATTTTTATGAGTGATGGTCACTCGTTAGCCCGACAGGTGTATTGTGTACAAATTCGATGTCAATTTCCCCAGTGGTTTTTGAGTTATGTTAATCCCACAAACATATATTACATTTTTATTTATATAGACTAGCCGTCCCCTGCCACGCGTTGCTGTGGCCCACATGGGGGTTCTGTGTGGGAGGTTTGGCCCAATTCTATCGTTGGTGGGGTTCAGAATGATCTGTGATTGTAGGTGAACTATAAATCCCAGCAACTACAACTCCCAAATGTCAAGATTCTATTTTCCCCAAACTCCACCAGTGTTCACATTTGGGCATATTGAGTATTTGTGTAGAGTTTGGTCCAGATCCATCATTGTTTGAGTCCACAGTGATCTCTGGATGTAGGTGAACTACAACTCCAAAACCAAAGGACACTGCCCACCAAACCCTACCAGTATTTTCTGTTGGTCATGGGAGAACTGCGTGCCAAGTTTGGTTCAGTTCCATCATTGGTAGGGTTCAGAATGCTCTTTGATTGTAGTTGAACTATAAATCCCAGCAACTACAACTCCCAAATGGCAAAATCAATTTTTTGAGTGAAGGACATACATTGGGTTGTTAAGTGTCTTGTGTCCAAATTTGGTGTCAATTCGTCCAGTGGTTTTTGAGTTCTGTGAATAGCACCAACGAACATTACATTTTTATTTATATAGATGGTCACTCGTTAGCCCGACAGGTGTATTGTGTCCAAATTCGATATCAATTCCCCCAGTGATTTTTGAGTTATGTTAGTCCGACCAACAAACATTTTTATTTATATAGACAATAGTGCCTAAAAATGATACAAAACATATTTTACATATATATGTGTGCATGCATGTGTGTATGTATATTATATATATTATATATAATATTATATATATATATGTGTCTGTGTGTTTGTGTGAAATATTATACACACACAAAACTATGATCTATCCTGACCATACATGTGAAGCATGATCATATGTACAGAGGGGGGTTTCCAGACACTTTGAGTCCTTGTGAAGAAAAAAGCGGGGTGTAAATAAACTTAACAAACAAATAAACAAGCAAACAAATGTAATAATAATAATAATAATAATAATAATAATAATAGGCACCAGTTATAGACAATGGATCAGGACAGTCCCATGGCACAATACATGCATTAGTCATAGGATGCATTGTTGTGGTTTCAGTATGAAACCTTGTGAAAAAATGAACACAAAAGAATAAAGCCATTTCCAAAAAGATAAGGATACGTGGGTGATAATCCATCTTGTCTCCAAAGAAGTTCACAAACTGGGTCCCATTATAGAAGTAGCCAGCTGGAAGAGGGTCTAGATGGCGTTTAACCTATGCAAAAAAAGAAACAGGATTGCTCAGAACCGCTCCTTGTGTCAAAGCTGTCGAGGGGAGATGTCTAAGAGTGATGCGCAGTGAAGGAGCATGGCCTAGTGCAGGTAAATCTTTGGCAGGGCTACTTTAAAATAGCTTCATTCGCGACATTCTGGTCTAAAAGGTTTGATGGCTGTGGAACTATCTAGACTGCAGAATTGTGAGCTTTCACTCTTAAAAGGAAGTTATAAAAACTTCAAGTTTCTTCAAACTTTTGAATGGTGCTCATTAAGGATATCTGGGTCTGCTTTCAATCATCCAACCTTATCTTGAGCTTCCATCATCTCACTCTGGCCAAACAGGTTGACTATCTCTTTGCAGGAATGTTCCCAGATACATATGCTGATTATACTCCCCACCATCCACCGGAACTTCTGGATGTAATGGGAATTACAACCCATATCTAGAATGCACTACATTAGGGCAGTACTGAAGCTGACTACGAATCCGCTTTGTGCCTCCTCCTGCTCCTACATTACTCAGCTCTTCCTATGGCTTTGAGGGCTACACTCCTAACACTGAACGAGGAAGGAAGAATAATTCAAACGAAAAGGCTGAAAACTTACGTGAATGTTCTTGATCTCCTGTGAGGTCAGCATGCCCCGGGTTTTCAAAACTTTTCTCTGTGGTTTCTGTGACGAGGATGGAGAGAACAGAAAAAAAATTGGTGCCTCATCATACATCTAAATGATACTAATGTCTCCGCTAATGGAATAATAGAATAGAATAGAAACATACACCCTCTACGCTCATCAGATGGAACCAAACTTCTGAAGGACAACAAAATCAATTGCACTACATTGGAAAGAGCACTACCACAACCTCCTGAATCGCAGCTCCAATATGGTCGAAGAGGTTCTCTCATAAATCCCACAACAACAAATCAGGGATGTGCTTGCAGCACTGTCTAATTTGGAAGAAGTCAGCAATGCCATCAGCCAACAAAAAAATAACAAAGCCAGCGGACCTGCATAGTACTCACATCAATACAATCACCATAAACAGCTTGCATTCTCTGATGAATCTCCTTTGGGGTGACACCTTCTGCTGTCAAGAATTCAATGACTGCACGTTGCTTAAGTCGCATTGACCGACCATCTGCGCAGGGTTCCATACTTTGTACTTTAACAACACAACCATTCAATGCTAAGGCTTCCCGCCAAAATGGAACTGTAGAGGAGAGTCTACTGAACAAGTATGGAACCCTGCACAGACGGTCAATGCGACTTAAGCAATGTACAGTCATTGAATTCTTGACAGCAGAAGGTGTCACCTCAACATCTTTTAACTTACGCGCCTAAAGACGCACAATAGTCACATCAACACAATCAACATAAACAGCTTGCATTCTCTGATGGATCTCCTTTGGGGTGACACCTAGAATCATAGAATCAAAGAGTTGGAAGAGACCTCATGGGCCATCCAGTCCAACCCCCTGCCAAGAAGCAGGAATATTGCATTCAAATCACCCCTGCCAGATGGCCATCCAGCCTCTGCTTAAAAGCTTCCAAAGAAGGAGCCTCCACCACACTCCGGGGCAGAGAGTTCCACTGCTGAACGGCTCTCACAGTCAGGAAGTTCTTCCTCATGTTCAGATGGAATCTCCTTTCTTGTAGTTTGAAGCCATTGTTCCATTGCGTCCTAGTCTCCAAGGAAGCAGAAAACAAGCTTGCTCCCTCCTCCCTGTGGCTTCATCTCACATATTTATACATGGCTATTATATCTCTGTACCTTCTGTTGTCAAGAATTCAATGACTGCACGTTGCTTAAGTCACATTGATCGACCATCTGCGTAGAGTTCCATACTTCGCCCTTTAACAACACAACCGTTCAATGCTAATGCTTCCCGCCAAAATGGAACTATAGAGGAGAGTCTACTGAACAAGCCAGTACCTGCCGCATACCAGTACTGCCATCTGTTGAGGAGTTACGAAGGTGAGGGCATTACTTTTCATTCAACCCTCGTATAAACCTCACTTGCCTAGTTTCCAACAGACCTCACAACCTCTGAGGATGCCTGCCATAGATGCAGGCGAAATGTCAGGAGGGAATGCTTCTGGAACATGGCCAGACAGCCCACAAAACTCACAACAACCTGTATGTTTTTGTTCTTTTTTATGACTTTGAGCCACTGGTGCTGGGTCACGCTGCTACTGCAAAGTTACTCCGCTGTACATTGATGAGGAGGGTCTTTTGTTAATAAGCCCACTCACCCCACACATATGCCATCTCCCAGTCTGTTCACGCATAGAAAACCATGATGACCGTATCTAAGCAACTGGAGGTGATGAAGTCTATCCAATACAACATTCTGAATCCGTGCCCCAAAGAACCCCATTGTCATTGTGCAAAGGGTTCAATCCTACTTCTATCCAATTAATTCGAAACCCTAAACAAAACATCAAATGTTATGATTGCTTAAATGTTACTTTAGTTAGTAAGTCCAACTGAAACGCACATCTGAAAGCAGAGTTCCTTTGAAAGGATATGACGTGCATCACCTGCAAAGCAATTGAGCTTTTACCTCGATTAAGCTTCCAGATAGACATTTTCGTGGAATAGGAGGGACTGACGGAACACTAATTATCTGAATCATAGCCGCTAGATCGTGGCAATAGTTCAAAAGCTTGTTTATGAATTTATTAAGAGTGCTTTTTAAAATGTCAAGCCTCCCAAGAAACGTTATCCTTTTGTGTGCAAATGGGGTCAACGATGTGTATTTATTTTAGGAAACTGCAAATAGAGCTGAGCTTCCAAGTTACCTGCCTGTCAGTATTGTAGCTTTTGCTCCCAATTTATTCAAATCTGTCAAAACTGTTTATATCAGGCATGGGCAAACTTTGGCCCTCCATGTAGGAATTGTGGGAATGGAAGTCCAAAACACACAGAGGGCCAAAGTTTGCCCGTGCCTGGTATAGGCAGTATCCAAATCTGGTGGAGGTAATTACTAGGCATGGATAGGTACTTCAGAATATTCGTAAATAGGAATAAATTTGGAAAAATTACTTTTTCGAAGCGATTTTGAAGTTTTTAAGAAAACCGGAAGTCCCTTTGCCCTTCTGAAGCTTTTTCCGCCATTTTTGTTACGACTCATGAAGTGAGTCGGAAATGATTCAGCTTTTCAGTCAGTTTTAAAGCCAGAGAAACCAGTTTTAAACCAGAGAAGGAAATAATTTATTTCACTTGCTTTTCCTCGCTTCTGATCCCTGGCCTCGGCTCAAGCCAGAGAAGCCAGTTTTAAACCAGAGAAGGAAAGAATTTACTCTGCTTGCTTTTCCTCGCTTCTGGTCCCTGGCCTCAGCTCAAGCCAGAGAAGCTAGTTTTAAACCAGAGAAGGAAAGAATTTACTCCGTTTGCTTTTCCCCGCTTCTGGTCCCTGGCCTCGGCTCAAGCCAGAGAAGCCAGTTTTAAAGCAGAGAAGGAAATAATTTATTTCACTTGCTTTTCCTCGCTTCTGATCCCTGGCCTCGGCTCAAGCCGGAGAAGCCAGCTTTAAACCAGAGAAGGAAAGAATTTACTCTGCTTGCTTTTCCTCGCTTCTGGTCCTGGCCTCGGCTCAAGCCAGAGAAGCCAGTTTTAAACCAGAGAAGGAAAGAATTTACTCTGCTTGCTTTTCCTCGCTTCTGGTCCCTGGCCTCAGCTCAAGCCAGAGAAGCTAGTTTTAAACCAGAGAAGGAAAGAATTTACTCCGTTTGCTTTTCCCCGCTTCTGGTCCCTGGCCTCGGCTCAAGCCAGAGAAGCCAGTTTTAAAGCAGAGAAGGAAATAATTTATTTCACTTGCTTTTCCTCGCTTCTGATCCCTGGCCTCGGCTCAAGCCAGAGAAGCCAGCTTTAAACCAGAGAAGGAAAGAATTTACTCCGCTTGCTTTTCCTCGCTTCTGGTCCTGGCCTCGGCTCAAGCCAGAGAAGCCAGTTTTAAACCAGAGAAGGAAAGAATTTACTCTGCTTGCTTTTCCTCGCTTCTGGTCCCTGGCCTCAGCTCAAGCCAGAGAAGCTAGTTTTAAACCAGAGAAGGAAAGAATTTACTCCGTTTGCTTTTCCCCGCTTCTGGTCCCTGGCCTCGGCTCAAGCCAGAGAAGCCAGTTTTAAAGCAGAGGAGGAAATTATTTATTTCACTTGCTTTTCCTCACTTCTGATCCCTGGCCTCGGCTCAAGCCAGAGAAGCCAGTTTTAAACCAGAGAAGGAAAGAATTTACTCCACTTGCTTTTCCTGACTTCTGATCCCTGGCCTCAGCTCAAGCCAGAGAAGCCAACTTTAAACCAGAGAAGGAAATAATTTACTCCGCTTGCTTTTCCTCACTTCTGGTCCCTGGCCTCAGTTCAAGCCAGAGAAGCCAGTTTTAAACCAGAGAAGGAAAGAATTTACTCCACTTGCTTTTCCTCACTTCTGGTCCCTGGCCTCAGTTCAAGCCAGAGAAGCCAGTTTTAAACCAGAGAAGGAAAGAATTTACTCCACTTGCTTTTCGTCACTTCTGGTCCCTGGCCTCGACTCAAGCCAGAGAAGCCAGTTTTAAAGCAGAAAAGGAAGGAATTTCATGGCCTCGGCTCAAGCCAGAGAAGCCAGTTTTAAACCAGAGAAGTAAAGAATTTACTCTGCTTGCTTTTCCCCGCTTCTGGTCCCTGGCCTCGGCTCAAGCCAGGGAAGCCAGTTTTAAACCAGAAAAGGAAGGATTTTCCTGGCCTCGGCTCAAGCCAGAGAAGTCAGTTTTAAACCAGAAAAGGAAAGAATTTACTCCGCTTGCTTTTCCCCGATTTTGGTCCCTGGCCTCAGCTCAAGCCAGAGAAGTCAGTTTTAAACCAGAGAAGGAAGGAATTTACTCCACTTGCTTTTCCTGACTTCTGATCCCTGGCCTCAGCTCAAGCCAGAGAAGCCAGCTTTAAACCAGAGAAGGAAATAATTTACTCCGCTTGCTTTTCCTCACTTCTGGTCCCTGGCCTCAGTTCAAGCCAGAGAAGCCAGCTTTAAACCAGAGAAGGAAATAATTTACTCCGCTTGCTTTTCCTCACTTCTGGTCCCTGGCCTCAGTTCAAGCCAGAGAAGCCAGTTTTAAACCAGAGAAGGAAAGAATTTACTCCACTTGCTTTTCCTCGCTTCTGGTCCCTGGCCTCGACTCAAGCCAGAGAAGCCAGTTTTAAAGCAGAAAAGGAAGGAATTTCATGGCCTCGGCTCAAGCTAGAGAAGCCAGTTTTAAACCAGAGAAGGAAAGAATTTACTCCGCTTGCTTTTCCTCGCTTCTGGTCCCTGGCCTCAGCTCAAGGCAGATAAGCCAGTTTTAAACCAGAAAAGGAAGGAATTTCTTGGCCTCGGCTCAAGCCAGAGAAGCCAGTTTTAAACCAGAGAAGTAAAGAATTTACTCTGCTTGCTTTTCCCCGCTTCTGGTCCTTGGCCTCAGCTCAAGCCAGAGAAGCCAGTTTTAAACCAGAAAAGGAAGGAATTTCCTGGCCTCGGCTCAAGCCAGAGAAGCCAGTTTTAAACCAGAGAAGGAAAGAATTTACTCTGCTTGCTTTTCCCTGCTTCTGGTCCCTGGCCTCAGCTCAAGCCAGAGAAGCCAGTTTTAAACCAGAGAAGGAAGGAATTTCCTGGTCCTGGCCTTGGCTCAAGCCAGAGAAGCCAGTTTTAAACCAGAGAAGGAAGGAATTTCCTGGTCTCGGCTCAAGCCAGAGAAGCCAGTTTTAAACCAGAGAAGGAAGGAATTTCCTGGCCTCGGCTCAAGCCAGAGAAGCCAGTTTTAAACCAGAGAAGAAAAGAATTTACTCCTCTTGCTTTTCCCCACTTCTGGTCCCTGGCCTCGTTCAAGCCAGAGAAGCCAGTTTTAAACCAGAGAAGAAAAGAATTTACTCCACTTGCTTTTCCTCGCTTCTGGTCCCTGGCCTCGGCTCAAGCCAGAGAAGCCAGTTTTAAACCAGAGAAGGAAGGAATTTCCTCTGCTTGCTTTTCCCCGCTTCTGGAGTAAAACAACTACTTTCAAAGTAAAGACCACCCAATGAAACAGAAAATAACTCTTTCAAACCATTAACAAAAGGATTCAGAAGTCTCAGAAGTTTCGAAAAGTTTTGAACATTTTTTCCGTGAAAATCGGAATTGACTTTAGAATCAAACCACCAGCGACCCCTACATCCGAAACGAGTTTTTAACCATTCTTTTTTTTGATCAAACAAGCCTAGTAATTACCCCCTCCTCCTCTGGGGGTTTTAAAGCAGGGGAGTGCTTTGATTGTGTCTTCCTGCCTGGCAGAAGGGACTTAAAGACCTCTTCCGACTCCACAATTCTTTGATTCTATGATGTCTTCTACTGGGGACACATACCTGCTTGGCCGTCTGCCTGAGCCAATCCTTGATCTCATCTTCTTTGAGGGAGCAGCCAATAAACACCAGGAAGCATTCCTGGGGCCCGCCATTATGGTCTCGGTCGTCGTTCCTCGAATCGGGAGGAGACGGGGCTTCCTGAACAGGTGACAGGCTTAAGGAGTTTGCGGGCGTGTTGTGGCACACCTCCATCATCCGATCCGAATCTGTTGCAGGACCAAATGCAAGGGAGGTATAGGCGTCAATGCATTATTTGAATGGAAAGTGCTCTAACTGCACCCGTCTTTCAATAAACACATTTACTTATTTATTTACTTTTACCCCACTTTTCTCCCACAAATAGGACTCAAAGAGGCGTACAAAAATAAAAATATCAACTAAATAATACACAAAAACCATCAACCCACCCAAGATATCTAATGAAATAAAAATGTAATATTAGTTTGTGAGATTAACATAACTCAAAAACCACTGGATGAATTGACAACAAATTTGGACACAGTAAACCTATCAGGCCAACAAGTGACCACCACTCATAAAAACACTGAAAAACACAGCGGAAGAGACTTTAAAAACCCAAAAAAATAAAAAGTACATTACAACACATGCGCAAACTGCATATATACATGCAAACACACATATATACACATATACACAAACATATACACAGACTGGGCCACAGCAAAATGTGGCAGGGGATGGCTAGTAAACAATAAATCTGCACATAACATAAAACACAATTTACATAAATATAAGTAACCATCAAAATAATCACATGTCATTACCATTAACATTAAAATCCCTACACCTCAAGCCACTGAGGTTGTCCTAACAAGTTAAAACATTAAACTAGCTGACTCAGAGGTCCTAGTCTTTGGCCATGTGAGTCTTGTCTGGCTGAGATAGCTGCTCCTTATGTGTTGTCTGAGAAGGCTTGCTACCATAAAAAGGTTTTCATCTGGGAGTGGATAGCCAATAACAAGGGGGCCAAACGTACTTCTTTGGGAAGGGAATTCCAAAGCCGAGGGGCTACCACTGAAAAGACCCTCTCTCTCATTCCCACCAACCATACTTGTGGCAGTGGTGGTGGGACCGAGAAGAGGGCCTCTCCTGATGATCTCAGGGCTTGTGTGGTCTGGTAGGAGGCGATGCGGTCCCTCAATATTTGGGTAAAACCCAAATATATACAAATATTTAAATAGAGCTGAATATAAAGGGTGTTAAAATTATTATTATTATTATTATTATTATTATTATTATTATTATTTATACCCACTTTTTCTCTCTAAAAAGAGACTTGAAGCAATGCAATTTATAACCAAAAATATACAAACATTAAAACAGAATTAAATGTTAATTATATTAAAATAACGATGACGACGACAACAACAACAACAACAACAATAATGTATACTCTGCTTTTTCTTTCTAAAAAAGAGACTCAAAGAGGCTTAGGGCAAAACCAAGACCTCTACAATTAATAACCTAAAAATATACAAACATTAAAATAGAATTAAATATGAACCGCATTAAAAGTAAACCCTTAAAATCTATTAAAGACCGATGTGTAGCAAAAACTACAGCATCCCCTGAAGTGATCTTAAAAACCTCCTTCTTTAAAAGCCTACCTGAATTTTAAAAAAGTTTGTTGCACCTCAGCTAGGATTCACCTTGCTCAAGCACTCACCAGGAAGCCAAACGTAGGAATAAACGGTTTATCGAAAAAGCACACACAATAAAAGAGTAAAAAAATCCAAATAGGTAAGATAAAAGGAGTCCCAAAAGCCAGAGATAAATATTCAATGCAAAGGTTAAAGCATGAACATAAATCCAAGGAGTAGGGTATAATCATGAGCTTGATTAATCCAAAAGAGAAGGAATAAAACCTCAACTTGAGTAATCTAAGATTCAAAGAACAATACATGAGCTTGAGTGCATGGTAAAATCCCCAAGACTTAAAGCAAAACGTGACCAGGACATAGCTTGAAGCGAGAACCAAGACAGAAGCTTTTTGCTCTATCTGCTACATTGCTTGATCTGAGAACTGGAAGCTATTCTTTTCCTAATTAAGGACAGCAATGGATGAAAGCATTTCTTCGACCTTGCGTAGTCTTCTCTTGGTCTCACTTTCCCATGGCCTGGCTTGCACCTGGAATTCTTTCCCCGCAGAAGAAGCTTTGATTCTCTATCTAACCTCCCTTCCTGCCTGTCAGCTTCTAAAACAATTTCATTTTCAATGTATTGTCGAAGGCTTTCATGGTCGGAATCACTGGTTTGTTGTAGGTTTTTCGGACTATATGGCCATGGTCTAGAGGCATTTTCTCCTGACGTTTCGCCTGCATCTATGGCAAGCATCCTCAGAGGTAGTGAGGTCTGTTGGAACTAGGAAAAAGGGTTTATATATCCGTGGAATGACCAGTGTGAGACAAAGCCCATTATATCGGCTATGGAATGCCCTTCCCATGGACATTAGATCAGCCCCTTCGCTAATGGTGTTTCGAAGAAAATTAAAAACCTGGCTGTTTGAACAGGCGTTGGGATAAATAGTGCAATGAACACGATGAATATAGGAAACGGAATTATGGATGACGAATTGGATCACGATTTTAGTTACGAGACGTTAATGTGTTGTTATTGAGATGTCATTAGTTTGTATTTTATACTGTTAATGGTTTTAATATTGTATGTTGTTGGATGTCTTTTGCTCTTGTTGTGAACCGCGTTGAGTCGCCTACGGTCTGAGAAACTGTGGTATACAAGCAAAGTAAGTAAATAAATAAATATATGCTATGTCAGGCCATTATATGTTAATCAAGGAGGTCAGTTGAAACATTCACACCTAGCTCCAGCAGGCAAGAGTCCTTTGTCTCACCTTGGTCATTCCACAGATATATAAACCCTTCTTCCTAGTTCCAACAGACCTCACAACCTCTGAGGATGCTTGCCACAGATGCAGGCGAAACGTCATGCCTCTAGAACATGGCTATATAGCCCGAAAAAACCTACAGCAAACCAATTTCATTTTCACACAGAGAATAATCCAAATCCCCCTCGATTCTTCCAACCGGGGAATCACCAGCCTGTTCTAACATCCTCTCTGTCTGAGCATCTCCAGAAGCATCACGCCCTGCACCCCTAAACCGCTCATCATCATCCTCAGCTGGCTGAACTACGACACTCTTTACAATTCACAGTAAGGGAAAATTGTAAAATCTCATGACAATATCAAATTACGCATAGCTATTTAAGGAAGGGGGAAAATTACATGATAAATTATATTTACCCCATCCATGAAGACAACACATATTTCTACAGACAAACAAAAAGTTTGAAAAGTTCCAAGTTAGAAAGCAGAATAGCCAAGAGAGACAAGCACTTATCAATTACCTGAAAACTTGAGTTTGCCCAAAATGTGGTAGATGTTTCCGGAGAAAGGACTCGACTTATTGAAGGACTTCAGTGCTGTTTCAAAAATGCAGAACACACAGAGAGAAAAGGAGATTATTCCTATCTGCCTGCATTAGATGTTGCTGCAAGGTGCAAGGAACGCAAAGATCAAGCTATAATGCACATTTTGTTGTAAAACTACTTTTGCACAAGCTGTAATATTTATTTACAGTATTTATATTCTGCCCTTCTCACTCTGCAGGGGACTCAGGGCGGATTACAATGTACACATGTATGGCAAACATTCAATGCCAAAGACACACAACAGATATAGACAGACAGTCAGAGGCTATTTAACTTTTCTGGCCGCTGGGGAGCTGTCGCTTTCATCTTCCATCTGCGACACTGATGAGGTACTTCCGCATTCCCCGCATGCTTTTGCTGGAGTCTTTTTTATGGCCTCGTAAATTAGTTAAATTAGCCTCCCCACACATAGGTGGTACCTAATTTTCCTACTTGACAGATGCAACTGTCTTTCGGGTTGCAAAGGTTGACAACAAGCTACACAATTGGTTGGAAGCTCACTCTGACCCGGGCTGGCTTTGAACTCATGACCTTATGGTCAGAAGTGATCTTAATGCAGCTGACACTCAGACAGCTGTGCCAGAATCCCAGTAATACAGGTTGAGAGTCCCGTAGCTGCAATTCTAAAACACAAAATACGCCAAAATCCATAATTGTCCACTTGAGAGGCTGAGACAGTGATGCCTTTGTTTACAGATGGTTCAATATTCACCAACTTTGTCTCAAGCACAAAATTATGTAAAATGTTGTGTGTAAAAGTATCCATAGGCTATGTGTACATAAATCAATGTTGTGTTTAGATTTAGATCTCAACTATGTCAAAATATGAGAAATTGGAGAAGGAGCAATACTCAATTTGTGAAAGAGCTTTGTTGGGATTTTCAGAAAGACAATGCCATCTGTAGATGAGATTTGTGAAATGGCTTTTTTACCTTTGCATTTGGCTACGAATCGTGTCTTCTCCAAAGGACGGTTGAACCACACACAGATCTGAACCATTGGAGGATAGACTGAACCAGCACGAAATTTGCCATCGTACCTGGAAAGGAAGAAAGGAATATTGACATATCTATATATAAAAAAAATACTCTGTGCATAATGAGTACCTTAAAAACAAAAGAACTAATGAATTAAATCACACCAAATTTGGCAACAAAATGTCTCACAACACAAGGAGTGACCATCACTCAAAACATTATGATTTTGTCAGGTTCGCAGCTTGGGAGTGATCCTGGACTCATCGCTGAGCCTGGAACCCCAGGTTTTGCACAATTAAAACTCGTGCGCCAGCTGTGCCCGTTCCTTGGGAAGTCTGATCTGGCCACAGTGGTCCACGCCCTTGTTACATCCCGAATAGATTACTGCAACGCACTCTACGTGGGGTTGCCTTTGAAGACTGTTCGGAAACTTCAATTAGTCCAACGGGCGGCAGCCAGATTAATCACCGGAGCATCATACAGGGAGCACACCACTCCTCTGCTACGTCAGCTCCACTGGCTGCCGATCCAGTTCCGAGCACAATTCAAAGTGCTGGTTTTCACCTTTAAAACCCTCTACGGCTCCGGCCCAGTGTACTTATCCGAACGTATCTCCTTCTATGTCCCACCACGGAGTTTAAGATCTTCTGGGGAGGCCGTGCTCTGGGCCCCACCTTTATCACAAGTGAGGCTGATGGGGACGAGAGACAGGGCCTTCTCAGTGGTGGCCCCTCGCCTGTGGAATTCACTCCCCGGGGAAATTAGGTTGTCAACATCCCTCCTCTCCTTCAGGAGAAAGCTGAAGACATGGATATGGGACCAGGCATTTGGGTAGTCTGGCAGGGTAACAAGGTAATAATGAATAGAATTGGAAAGGACTATGGCATTGCTAAACGGATTGACGGATTTTAGAACACGATGAACGCAGGCTTTAGAGCGGTTTTAGTTGATATTGTATTGTGTTATATTGTACTGTATTAATTGACTGTATTTAATTTATTGTGTTATTGTTATTGCATTTTATTGTAATTGTGGGTATCGAATTGTGCCGAATGTAAGCCGCCTTGAGTCCCTCCTAGGGGGTGAGAAAGGCGGGGTAGAAATGACCGAAATAAATAAATAAATAAATTTGGGAGTTGTAGTTGCTGGGATTTATAGTTCACCTATAATCCAAGAGCATTCTGAACTCCACCAACGATGGAATTGAACCAAACTTGGCACACAGGACTCAGAAAACACTAGAAGGGTTTGGTGGGCATTGACCTTGAGTTTGGGAGTTGTAGTTCACCTACATCCAGAGAGCACTGTGGACTCAAACAATGATGGATCTGGTCCAAACTTGGCACGAATATTCCATATGCCCAAATGTGAACACAGATGGAGTTTGGGGAAAATAGACCTTGACATTTGGGAGTTGTAGTTGCTGGGATTTATAGTTCACCTACAATCAAAGAGCATTCTGAACCCACCAATGATAGAATTGGGCCAAACCTCCCACCCAGAACCCCCATGTGGGCCACAGCAAAACGTGGCAAGGGGCGGCTAGTGTATGTATATATGTGTGTGTGTGTGTGTGTGTGTGTATATATATACACACACACTTAGTTACTCCAGACTCAGGAAAACGATTTTAGTAATGAGACACTGAAGATTTGTGTTTTATTGTTTTTATATGGTTTATACTATATGTTAATGTTTTAACTATATTTTATGTTATGAGCATTGAATTATGCCTATTGTAAACCGCCTTGAGTTGCCCTCGGGCTGAGAAAGGGGGTATATAAATTTGGTAAATAAATAAGTGTAATTTAATTTTTTATTCCATATTTTCTCCCATTCGTCCAACATAATATTGTCCTGGAGGCTTTTAATCTTGACACGCTGCTTTATGTACAGCTATATACACACGTCAGGATCCCCTGATGTCCTATTGGTATACACAGACATATTTATTTATTATTATTTATTTAAAACTTTTATATCCCGATCTTCTCTACCACCGTAGAGGGACTCAGACCGGCTGACAGCAAAGATTCACTGCTAACACTAAAATCTAAAACATCATGCATCAACATTAAAATTATCCAATACATATAGGATAAAATACATAACAGTCGTTCGCCAAGGTAAAATCATGTCCAACTCAGTCTGTATATTCAGTCCATATATTGTGGTCAATAACTTTGGTCAATTGCCGGTCTCAGACATCATTCCGCAAAAGCTTCGTTCCACAGCCAAGTTTTCACTAGCTTCCTAAAGGTCTGGAGGGAGGGGGGCAGATCTAATTTCATTCGGGAGGGAAATCCATAGCCGAGGAGCCACCACAGAAAAGGCCCCGTCTCTTGTTCCCAGCAGACACACCGTATACTCAGCACCAGAAGTACAGCAAGAAGCAAGAATCATAGTGAGAAAGAGAGAGAGCATACTTGCTCCCCACTTTTACACCCATTGCTTCTCGTCATCCAAGCCGAGGAGCCACCACAGAAAAGGCCCTGTCTCTCGTTCCCACCAGACGCGCCATATACTCAGCACCAAAAGTACAGCAAGAAGCAAGAATCATAGTGAGAAAGAGAGAGAGCATACTTGCTCCCCACTTTTACACCCATTGCTTCTCGTCATCCAAGCCGAGGAGCCACCACAGAAAAGGCCCTGTTTCTCGTTCCCACCAGACGCGCCATATACTCAGCACCAGAAGTACAGCAAGAAGCAAGAATCATAGTGAGAAAGAGAGAGAGCATACTTGCTCCCCACTTTTACACCCATTGCTTCTCGTCATCCAACAGGGACAGCAGTGAATGATGTAATTTTAATTATTTATTTATTTATCTATCTCATTTTTACCCCGCCCATATCAGCCCAAAGGCGACTCAGGGCGGCGAACAATCGGCACAATTCGATGCCATATATAAAATACATACATCAATAAAAATAAACCATCACATTACACTATATCTAAAAACATCAAACCAGTGAACAATAAAAAAAATTAAACGATGTCGTCATGTTCAGTCCTCATCCATTCCGTCGTCTTAGCCGTTCCTCGGTCGTTTTCCAATTCAGGTTTATCTGGCTAAGCTGAAGCTCCAGAAGTTTGCTCGAAGAGCCAAGTTTTCAGTTTTTTTCGAATGCTTAGGAGGGAGGGGACCAATCTGATATCCCTGGGCAGGGAGTTCCATAGCCGAGGGGCCACCACAGAGAAGGCCCTGTCTCTCATAATGGGCTCATGTACTGGCGAAACGATGGCCATCAGGCTGACCTTTCTATGAGATTTTATTGTATTAATTTAATGTTTTAAGTATTGATGTTTATTTATTGTGCTGAATTGTAGGCATCAAATATGTGCCGGCTGGAAGCCGCCCTGAGTCCCCCCTAGGGGGTTGAGAAGGGCGGGGTAAAAATACCCGAAATAAATAAATAATTCTCATCATGCCTGTCACATGGTCATGGCTCAGCTTCTTTATCCTGTCCCTTCAGTTTCACCTCACTACCTACTTAACCCTTCACTGGATGTGTGATCACATGTCCATTAGAACTGTATTTTCAAACCAGTAATGCACAGTGGGGTTACAATCAATGCATTTCTATCTAACAGTGCATTATCTACCTAACAGTTTGAGCCCATATAAAAACCCCAGAGCTCAATGCTATTAAGAAGCAGCTGAAACGCAAAACACCAATATTTCATTCTTGTCTGTCCTGAACTCCACAAACCTTTCCAGTGGCATTCAGCAAAACAAATTATACAATTACATGAAACTCAATCGTCTTGATTATTGTACTTTACTGCTTCTCTTATACTACTACCGCATCCATAAGGGAGATTTTTTTTTTTTAATCTTCCAATAAAATAAAAGGACTGAATGGACTTCTCAAAGAAGCTAATCTCTGTATTTCATTAACAGAGTGATTTAACTGCAGGGATTAGATATATGGATAAATAAATCTAATACTGCTTCATAACAATGATTTAAAAATGTCCTCATTGAAGGTTTTGCCAAAAGGAGATACATACCAGCCAGGAAATGTTAAGTAGCGAGTTGTCAGCATCTGCGGGCTTGAGAAACTGCTTTCGGAGAGAATGAGCTCAATGTCTTCATTCCTAGAAGGGAAGGATCGAAATGTTAGGTTTATTTTCGTATCAATGTATTGTCGAAGGCTTTCATGGCTGGAATAACTGGGTTGTTGTAGGTTTTTTCGGCTATAATTTATTTATTTATTTATTTATTTATTTTATTTACTGTCCTTGTATACCGCCGTTTCTCAGCCTAACTGGCGACTCAACGCGGTTTACAACAGAATATACAGTACACAGTATACAATTAAAACCGTAAAAAACATAATACACAATATTTCACATAAATCACAATCCAATGCATCTCCTAACTAAAATCGTGGTCCAATTGCATCATCCATATTACCAATCCGTAGTCGACACATTCATTGCACCGAATTAACCAAATGCCTGCTTGAACATCCAAGTTTTTAGTCTTTTTCGGAATACCATCAGCGAGGAGGCTGATCTTACCTCCATGGGAAGGGCGTTCCAGAGCCGAGGGGCCACCACAGAAAAGGCCCTGTCTCTCGTCCCCGCCAGCCGCACCTGTGAAGCAGGCGGGATAGAGAGCAAGGCCTCCCCAGAAGATCTTAGGGTCCTGGTGGGCTGATAGGCCGAGATACGTTCGGATAGGTAGGTTGGGCCAGAACCGTTTAGGGCTTTAAAGGCCAACGCCAGCACTTTGAATTGAGCCCGGTAGCAAATCGGGCAGCCAGTGGAGCTGACGTAACAGAGGAGTAGTATGCTCCCTGTACCCTGCTCCTGTTAGTAATCTGGCTGCCGCTCGTTGGACTAGTTGTAGCTTCCGGGCAGTCTAAAAGGCAACCCCACGTAGAGATCATTGCAGTAGTCTAAACGGGATGTAACCAGAGCGTGGACTACCTTGGCCGAGCGTATATGGCCATGTTCTAGAAGCATTCTCTCCTGACATTTCGCCTGCATCTATGGCAAGCATCCTCAGAGGTTGTGAGGTTATTTTCGTATCGCTACAAACATCATTGTTACACTTAAGCCTGATTCCTACTTTCTATGACAAGCTGTCTGGCTTGCCATTTTAATGTTATTTACAAGAAAAATTGGTCAGGTCCAAATTTATGTACAAATTAAATAAATTCAACTGGAAAACAAATATATATATATATATATATATATAGGTAAAGGTTTCCCCATGCTAGGACTTTAAGATTGTTCGGGAGGCCCTGCTCTCAATCCCGCCGGCATCACAAACACGTTTTGCGGGGACGAGAGACAGGGCCTTCTCAATGGTGGCCCCTCACCTATGGAATGCCCTTCCTGGAGACATTAGATTGGCCCCCTTCCTCTTTACATTCCGGAAAAGAGTCAAGACCTGGCTGTTCAAGCAAGCGTTTGAAAATGCAATGTTATTATCAGGTGGGGAAAAGAGTTTCCAATGAAGCTTTCTTTCCAATCCTTGTTTTCAAAGCCCAATTTTTCAAAATCAAATTCTCACAGGGACAGAAAGTAGGGCAAAATCCCTTCTGAACAGGGGCACAAGCAGCAAAGCAAATCCTACAGGAGTATTAACCCTTCCCTATCGTAAGACTGTAGGATCCATATAGCAATATTAAATAACCACTCACAAGCCGTTTTTGCTTTGAAATGGATATCTTGCTTGTATCTCTTCAGCAAAGAAAGACACTACTGACTTTTCCCCACCACCACTTCCTTTTATACACCTTTCCTGCCCATCTCCCCCCCCTTCCCTTCTCAGTTTCCTTATTAGAACTTGTTGCTTCACAACTTCCAATACAAGGCTTCCAAAGCCCTCTCCTGGCTTCAAAATGTCACAGAGAGAGAATTGATTCAGCCAGGATGATTCAGTCAGGATGTCACAGAGGGAATTTGTGATGTCTTCATGCGGTCAGAAATTGACTCCTGACACGTATGTTATCCAAAGCTTATATATATATATATATATATATATATAGAAAGGTAAAGGTTTCCCCTTGACATTAAGTCTAGTCATGTCCAACTCTCTGGGGTGGCGCTCATCTCTATTTCTAAGCTGAAGAGCTGGCGTTGTCCGTAGACGCCTCCTAGGTCATGTGGCTGGCTGGAGCAGTACCTATTGATCTACTCACATTTGCATACTTTTGAATTGCTAGGTTGGCAGGAGCTGGGGCTAACAGCAGGAACTCACCTCATTCCCTGGATTCAAACCCCCAAACTTTAGCAAGTTCAGCAGCTCAGTGGTTTAACTTGCTGCACCACCAGGAAGCTTACACACATACACACAGACACATATTTGGCTGGAGTTAGACTTATAAAATGTACCTGATTCGACTTACACACAAATTTAATTTAAGAACACATCTACAGAACTGTATGGGGACTGCCTGCATACAGAAAAATATCTCCTTTACCTTGTCACAACCCCATTTTCAGCCAGGATAAATGAAACAGAGGGGTTAGCGGCTCGGATGAGGTTCTGGAGCTGAACGAGAAGCGGGTTCCTTTGCTCAGACGTGTGGCTCGTGAAGACGACGTTACTCACAAGACCTGCAAAAGGAAACGGGGTTACAACTTTAAAGGACAGCATTCTCTGCTAAGCGAGCCTTCCTAAAATGGTCCTTCCTGGAGGGGATGCCATATTGTTGATAGAGCAAGCTTCTAGAGCAGGCACGGGCAAACTTGGGCCCTCCAGGTGTTTTGGACTTCAACTCCCACAATTCCTAACAGCTGGTAGTGGTTTGAACCCTGGGCTGAAACTCTATAGCAGTGGTTCTCAACCTTCCCAATGCCGCGACCCCTTAATAGAGTTCCTCATGTTGTGGTGACCTCCAACCATCACATTATTTTAGTTGCTACTTCACAACTGTAATTTTGCTACTGTTGTGAATTGTCATGTAAATATCTGATATGCAGGATGTATTTTCATTAACTGGACCAAATTTGGCACAAATATCCGAAACACCCACGTTCAAATATTGGTGGGGTTGGGGTAGGATTGATTTTGTCATTTGGGAGTTGTAGTTGCTGGGATTTATAGTTCACCTACAATCAAAGAGTATCCTGAACTCCACCAACGATGGAATTTAACCAATCTTGGCACACAGAACTCCCATGATCAATATAAAATACTGGAAGGGTTTGGTGGGCATTGACCTTGAGTTTTGGAGTTGTAGTTCACCTACATCCAGAGAGCACTGTGGACTCAAACAATGATGAAACTGGACCAAACTTGGCATGGATACACAATATGCCCACATGTAAACATTGGTGGAGTTGGGGGAAAATAGACCTTAACATATGGGAGTTATAGTTGCTGGGATTTATTGTTCGCTTACAATCAAAGAGCATTTTGAACTCCACCTACGATAGAATTGAACCAATTTTGCACACAGAACTCCCATGATCAATAGAAAATACTGTAAGGGTTTGGTGGGCATTGACCTTGAGTTTTGGAGTTGTAGTTCACCTACATCCAGAGAGCACTGTGGACTCAAACAATGATGGATCTGGACCAAACTTGGCACGAATACTCAATATGCCCAAATGTGAACACTGGTGGAGTTTGAGGAAAATAGAAACTTGACATTTGGGAGTTTTAGTTGCTGGGATTTATAGTTCACCTACAATCAAAGAGCATTCTGAACTCCACCAATGATACAATTGGGCCAAACTTCCCACACAGAACCCACATGACCAATAGAAAATACTGTGTATTCTGATGGTCTTTGGTGACCCTTCTGACACCCCCTCACAACCCCCAGGTTGAGAAACACTGCTCTACAGAGTCCCGAGTTCAATTCCCAACTCAGCTGTGGAAAAACCACCTGCCCCAAAAATCTATCATAAATCAGAAACAACTTGAAGGCAGACAACAACAACAACAACAACAATTTCCCATACCTAAAATATCACTATGAGTCTTACTTCAAAACTTAACCACAAAGTTCATACACTTTAAGTCACTGCTTTTTCAATCTTCCTATATTATTGGCTATCAGCCCCCTACCAAGCTGGCGGCTTCCTAAATGTGCCCAAAGAGCATTTGCATTTTTAAAATTTCCAGTTAGGATAGTCTAAAAGCTTATAGTTACCTTGCGAGCACTGATCCAGGAACTTGGGGAAGAGAAACCTGCAAAAATAAAATAAACACAAAATGCCTTAGTGCGTAGTGGTGTCTGCTGTGCTCCCAAAGCATGCCAAGTAGCATAAACCCTACTTGAAGTGACAGAAACAAAGCAAGCCCATTCCCCAGTGAAGTCCCTTTACTATTGAGATGCCAGGGGTAAAAAATAATTGTACTTTCAAGAATGCAGAGCATATGCTCAACACTAATCATAGAATCCTAGAGTTGGAAGAGACCTCATGGGCCATCCAGTCCAACCCCATTTTGCCAAGAAGCAGGAAAATCACATTAAAAACACCCCCGACAGGTGGCCACCCAGCCTCTGTTTCAAAGCCTCCAAAGACGGAGCTTCCACCACACTCCAGGGCAGAGAGTTCCACTGCTGAACAGCTCTCACAGTTAGGAAGTTTCTCATGTTCAGGTGGAATCTCCTTTCCTGTAGTTTGAAGCCATTGCTCCATTGCGTCCTAGTCTCCAGGGCAGCAGAAAAGAAGCCTGCTCCCCGCTCCCTATGACTTCTCCTCACCTCTTGATCCATGGCCCTCATCATGTTTCCTCTCAACCTTCACTTTTGCGGGCTACACATGCTCAGCTCTTTAAGCCGCTCCTCATAGAGCTTGTTCTCTAGATCCTTGATCCTTTGAGTCGCCTTCCTCTAGACACAGTGTCCAATTCTGGGCCCCGCTATTGAAGGGAGATGTTGATTCTATGCTGGAATGTGTCCAGAGGAGGGCGACTCAAATGATCAGAGGTCTGGAGAACTAGCCCTATGAGGAGCGGCTGAAAGAGCTGGGCATGTTTAGACTTCAAAAGAGTAGGCTGCGAGGAGACATGCTAGCCATGGGTAAATATGCGAGGGGAAGTCATAGGGAAGAGGGAACAAGCTTGTTTTCTGCTGCCCTGGGGACTAGGATGCAATGGAGTAATGGCTTCAAACGACAGGAAAGGAGATTCCACCTGAATACGAGAAAGAACTTCCTGACTGTGAGAGCCGTTCAGAAGTGGAACTCTCTGCTGTCTGTTCAGCAGTGGAACTCATGCAAAACAACATGATCATCAGACACAATAACAGTCTGAACAGAAAGAAAAGAAAAAAAAAAAAAAAAAAAAAAACAGAAAAAAAAAAAGAAAAAGAAAAAAAAAAAAAAAGAAAAAAAAAAAGAACTCTCTGCCCCGGAGTGTGGTGGAGGCTCCTTCTTTGGAAGCTTTTAAACAGAGGTTGGATGGCCATCTGTGGGGGGTGCTTTGAATGCAATTTTCCTTCTTGAAAGGGGGTTAGATTGGATGGCCCCTGAGGTCTCTTCCAACTCTATGATTCTATGATTCTGTGATCAAATGGTTATCCTTTCCATTGAAATATGAATGATCTGAAATAAATACAGATTTTCCAGGGTGCTGGGTATTTGCATGACTGTCCTTCCTTCCCGTGGAAGAACAAGAGAGATATTGACAAGCTGGAATGTGTCCAGAGGAGGGCGACTAAAATGATCAACGGTCTGGAGAACAAGCCCTATGAGGAGCGGCTTAAGGAGCTGGGCATGTTTAGCCTGAAGAAGAGAACGCTGAGAGGAGATATGATAGCCATGTATAAATATGTGAGAGGAAGCCACAGGGAGGAGGGAGCAAGCTTGTTTTCTGCTTCCCTGGAGACTAGGACGCATAACAATGGCTTCAAACTACAAGAAAGGAGATTCCATCTGAACATGAGGAAGAACTTCCTGACTGTGAGAGCTGTTCAGCAGTGGAACTCTCTGCCCCGGAGTGTGGTGGAGGCTCCTTCTTTGGAAGCTTTTAAACAGAGGCTGGATGGCCATCTGTCGGGTGATTTGAATGCAATATCCCTGCTTCTTGGCAGAAAGGGGTTGGACTGGATGGCTCACGAGGTCTCTTCCAACTCTTTGATTCTATGATTTCTGCACAGTTTGTAAAACGATCATTATTTGGAGCCTCACAGCAGCTTAACTCAAATCCGCCTGCGTGCTCTCTGAGCAAGTTATGCTCGGGTTAGATGACACACAAGGAGCACAGCTGTGCCCTGATGCAAAAACGCCATCGACTTTGATGCGGTCTGAGCAAAGAGATGTTTTCAGCCAGACTCTGCCCAGGTGATTTCTCATTCTCCGTGCCCTTTTGTGTCACTGCCTTCCAGCAACTGTCACCACTCCAATCATTTCATTGCCCACTGTTCTAAATTACCAAAAAAAACTGGTACACAACACGAACACTCTGTACTACTTTCACACACCATGCATCTTTTCATTCGGTGTGAACCGAGAAAAAAAAATCATGCTAAAGGTGAGCGCTTTGGACTTGGTTTAGCCATGCTGTAATGTGAGAACATTATCTGTTGTCATTGGTTTATATAACACCATTAAGTATGCACGGCACTTTACAATATTTATTTATTTATTTATTTAGAGGTTTTCTATACCGGCCTTCTCAACCTCGACGAGGGACTCAGGTCGGTTTACAGCATATATAAAATACAATCATATAAAAGAGCAACAAGTACAAATCATTACATATCAAAATAACACAACACAGTACAATAAAAACATCATCATTACATCATTACAGTTTCCTACGCCAAATCGTCAATCCAGTCAAAGTCATAGTCATGCTCATAGTCACAGTTCATCATAATTCATCACCGGGGAAGGTTCTAGGTTCAGTCCCCAAATGCCACCTTCCAGAGCCAAGTTTTTAGTGATTTCCTGAACGTCAGGAGGGAGGGGGCAGATCTAACCTCTAGTGGGAGGGAGTTCCAAAGCCGGGGAGCCACCACCGAGAAGGCCCTGTCTCTCGTCCCCACCAACCGTGATTGTGAGGGTGGTGGGACCGAGAGCAGGGCCCCCCCGGAAGATCTTAATAGCCTTGATGGTTCATAGGGGAGAATCCGTTCGGACAGGTAAACTGGGCCAGAGCCGTTTAGGGCTTTATAGGTCAAAACCAGCACTTTGAATTGTGCACGGAAGCTAATCGGCAGCCAGTGGAGCTGGCGTAACAGAGGGGTCGTATGGTCTCTGTACCCTGCTCCTGTTAGCAATCTGGCTGCTGCAAGTTGGACTGATTGAAGCTTCCGGGCAGTCTTCAGAGGCAACCCCACGTAGAGAGCGTTGCAGTAGTCTAAACGGGATGTAACCAGAGTGTGGACTACCGTGGCCAAGTCAGACTTCCCAAGGTACGGGCGCAGTTGGCGCACAAGTTTTAATTGTGCAAAAGCTCCCTTGACCACCGCCAAGCCAAAGGCATACAATCGAAAATACATGCCTAAACACACAGCGACACAATACTAGGGAATGTCCTGATGAGAATGCATCCCTCCTTGATTTAAAGCAGTGGTTCCCAACCTTTTTTGACCAGGGACCACTTGACCAGGACCACTCTTCAACCCAAAAGGGTTACAAATCTGTTTTTGGTCAACTTTAGATTCAGTTTGGTTATATGTGCTGCTGATTCAGAAAATGGCATTGAATAGACTACATCAGCTGTAGTTTCTGATACAGAACATATGCCATCCAGTAGTCACCATCAACTTGCCTATGGACAACCATATTTAATAAGCCTTTACGTTTGCCAGAGTGTTGACGTTTGCCAGCGGAAGGATTGCTAGATCAGCAGACACTGAGTGCAAAATAAGGACTCTGCAGGCTTCCAGTTACAAAAGAAACTAAGTTTTACTAAGTACATCCAAGACACGTCTTAACACAGCGAGCTACAATCAGGAACTAGTGGGGAAAACCGAAAGTGTCTGCACATCTGCTTATCTCTCTTCTCTCTGGTTAAGACGGGTGACTCCCTTTGGTTTCCAGCTGGTTTATCTCATTTCTCTCAAGGTTACTTAATCACAGCCTCATGGACATTCTGCATAACATTTTTTAACACACAGTAGACTCCTTCTTGAAATTACATAGAAGCACATTTAAAACACATATATATCTAAATTAATCCTGACACCTTGGTACTATAAAAGGGTTTTGCGAGACTAGTCGCTCATGTTGCAACGGTGTAGTAACAGTGAGTCCACTGTATTCTGAACTCCACCAACGATGGAACTGAACCAAACTTGGCACACTTGGTGGGCCATGACCTTGAGTTTTGGAGCTGTAGTACACCTACATCCAGAGAGTATTGTCGACTCAAACAATGATGGATCTGGACCAAACTAGGCACGAATACTCAATACACCCAAATATGAACACTGGTGGAATTTTGGGAAAACATACCTTGACATTTGAGGGTTGTAGTTGCTGGGATTTATAGTCCACCTTCAATCAAAGAGCATTCTGAACCTCACCAAAGAGAGAATTGGTCCAAACTTCCCACACAGAACTCCCATGACCAACAGAAAATACTGATGTTTTCTAATGGTTTTTGGTGACCACTTTGACATCCCCCTCGTGACCCCCCCCCCTCCCGGGGTCCCAATCCCCAGGTTGAAAAACACTGGGCTAAAGGGTTTGAACTTCTGACTGCAGAGCTTTCGACCCTCCCTCCAGTCCTACCAACATGAATGCAAGGACTTGGAAAGCATACCTATGTTCCATGTAGCAACTCAGCGGCTCTACGCAAGTCGTGACGGCTCCGACGACAAATGCGGCCTTGACGTCCGCGTTGGGGTGCGTTTGGAGAGCCTGCACTATGTCAATCACGTCTGTGTATCTGCAGAGAACACAAAAGGAAAGAGCTGTGAAGTGATAAAGGCCACTCATGTGCTGCCACTTCGGGGGGGGGGGGGGCAGCAGGGATAAAGGGGACTCTCTGTGTGAAAGAGAGAGTTGCAATATCAGGAAGGAAAGAAATGGCACGGCTCTCGCAGCTTATGCAACCGGACCTTCTCACCTCTCAATCAAATAGGGACGCTTTCTGGAATTGAAGTCCAAAACACCTGGAGGAGGACCGAAGTTTGCCCATGCCTGCTTTAGAGGTCCCAACAAACCATGATTGGGTTGTTGTAGGTTTTTCGGGCTTTATTGCCACGTTCTAGAAGCATTCCCTCCTGACGTTTCGCCTGCATCTATGGCAAGCATCCTCGGAGGTTGTAAGGTCTGTTGGAGCTAGGAAAATTGGGTTTATATATCTTGGAATAATGTCCAGAGTGGGACAAAGAACTCTTGTCTGTTGGAGCTAAGTGTGAATGTTTCAACTGGCCACCTTGATTAGCATTTGATGGCCTGGCAGTTGTTTGGTGTGGCTTGTTAGTGCCTGGGGGAATCTTTTGTGGAGAGGTGATTAGAAGTCCCACATTTTGTTCATTTTTTGTGTTTTTAATGATTGATTTTATATTGTTGTGTCATATATTATATCGTATTGTCGAAGGCTTTCATGGCCGGAATCACTGGGTTGTTGTAAGTTTTTTCAGGCTGTATGGCCATGGTCTAGAGGCATTCTCTCCTGATGTTTCGCCTGCATCTATGGCAAGTAATGAGGTCTCAGAGGTAATGAGGTCTGTTAGAACTAGGAAAGTGGGTTTATATATCTGTGGAATGACCAGGGTGAGACAAAGGACTCTTGTCTGCTGGAGCTAGGTGTGAATGTTTCAACTGACCACCTTCATTAGCATATAATGGTCTGACAGAGCCTGGGGCAAACTTTTGTTGAGAGGTGATTAGATGTCCTTGTTTGTTTCCTCTCTGTTGTTGTGCTGTTGTAATTTTATTATATTGATTTTGCATTTTATGTATTTTTCTAGGTTCTACTATGTTTTTGTGTTATATTGTATTGATGGGCGTGGCCTCATGTAAGCCGCACCGAGTCCCTTTAGGGGAGATGGAGCGGGGTATAAATAAATAAATAAATAAATAAATAATAATAATTATAATTATTATTATTATTATCATGGTTTCCTTCTTTCTGTTGAAATTGTCCACATGCTTGTGTATTTCAATGGCTTCTCTGTGTAGTCTGACATGGTGGTTGTGAGAGTGGTCCAGCATTTCTGTGTTTTCCAATAATATGCTGTGTCCAGGTTGGTTCATCAGGTGCTCTGCTATGGCTGACTTCTCAGGTTGAAGTAGTCTGCAGTGCCTTTCCTGTTCCTTGATTCATGTTTGGGCAATGCTGCTGCGTTTGGTGGTCCCTGTGTAGACTTGTCCACAGCTGCATGGTACACGGTAGACTCCTGCAGAAGTGAGAGGATCCCTCTTGTCCTTTGCTGAACGTAGCATTTGTTGGATTTCCTTGGTGGGTCTGTAGATAGTTTGTATGTTGTGTTTCCTCATCAGCTTCCCTATGTGGTCAGTGGTTCCCTTGATGCATGGCAAGAACACTTTTCTTCATCTTTATTCTCGTGGCTTGTTCTCGGTCTTGCAGCTCTTCTGATGTCTGAGGTGGAGTCTCCATTGGCCTGGAGAGCCCAGTTGAGGTGGTTCAGTTCATCTTGGAGGAGGTGGGCTTCGCAGATTCTTTTTGCACGATCTGCCAAGGCTTTAATGGGGCTTCTTTGTTGACTTGGGTGATGGATGGAGTTCTTATGGTAGGTATCTATCTGTGTGTGTAGGTTTTCTGTAAGTTGAAGTCCAAAACACCTGGAGGAGGGCCGAAGTTTGTCCATGCCTGGTCTAGACAAATGTGAAGACAACAGATCTAAGAACTATTTGACACAAAGTCAAAGACAACTTAACTTCCAAGTCCTGAAGCCAAGCACATCTGAATGCTAGGGAAGGGGTGATCCCTTTGATTTTGGGTTGCGAATGCCCCAGAGTTAAAGAACTGGCCCATGAAACCAGAGAAGACTTTGGCCTCGAACAGCAGGAATCTTAAGCGAATTTTTCCTGCAAATGCTTCCGGCAAAACAGCGAGGAAGAGGAACCAATGAAACGAGGGCAGTGTTTTTGTTTGTCAGATGAAGTCCACTCCCTTTGACAGTTGGGGTGATTTATTCTATTCGGATTGTGTGACATCTCAAGCAGAGAAGATGGGATGTGTCCTTCCGCCCGGTCATAACCCCATATTGTTTTTACCTTGCATTATCAACTTGCATTGCACGGAAAACAAAAAAAGGGACAAAAGTTTAGTGGCAGGGGTTTCCTGGCTTCTGTTGACAAAATGCCAAAGGTTGCGACTATTTTAAACAAATATTCTAGAGGATCCCTCAACTCTTGTTCTATGGTTGACAAAGCTATGTATGAGGGCAGAGAAGACTTCGGGATTGCTTTGGGAAGTTTTGTTGGAATATGAATTATTACACCATCCAGGTTTGGAGCTGAACTCCCTTGAGCAGAATAGCATTTCTCCTGGATTCAGGATGCTTCAACCTAGCACACACACAATTTGCGCAAGTTGCCTGTTGATTTATGGTGTCCCCATTCATTTCATAGGGTTTTATTAGACTAGGAATATCCAGAAGCGGCTTTGCTAGTTCCTCCCTGCCAATATGACCCATAGCACCTGAGATTCCTTGGCAATCCCCCTGTATTTAGGGAAGGTTCTTCGTTTTGGACTGCCATGCCCAAAATCCTCTAATCCAATGGTTCTCAAACTGTGCTCCGTGGAGCCCTTAGGGTTCCACAAAGCAAATTGAGGGGCTCTTTGCATCCCTGCGCCCCAATCCTCCTACTCCTCTTCCTCCTCCTTTTTCTGGATGGCCATTTGTTGAGAGTGCTTTGATTGTGAATTTCTTTCATGGCAGAAGGAAATTGGACTAGATGGCCGCTGGGGTTGCTCCTATTATTATTACTATTATTATTATTATTATTACTATTTGATACACAACAAGATGAGTATACAGCTAACAAGATCACCATGCAGGCTGTTGTATTGAAATAATAATAGTAATAGCAATAATAACAACAATAATAATAATAATAATAATAATAATAATAATAATAATTTTATTTATCGTGTCAGTGCAATCAGTCGATTATATTCTAACAGAACAAAGCAAACAAACAGACAAAATAAAAATTTGTGAGTTTGGTAGTTGATTAAATGTCCTTTGACCAGTATCTGGCCACTTGGAGTCCTCTGGTGTTGCGCAAGAAGGTCCTCCATTGTGCATGTGGCAGGGCTCAGGTTGCATTGCAGCAGGTGGTCAGTGGTTTGCTCTTCTCCACACTCGCATGTCGTGGATTCCACTTTGTGGCCCCATTTCTTGAGGTTGGCTCTGCATCTCGTGGTGCCAGAGCGCAGTCTGTTCAGTGCCTTCCAAGTCGCCCAGTCTTCTGTGTGCCCAGGGGGGAGTCTCTCATTTGGTATCAGCCATTGGTTGAGGTTCTAGATTTGAGCCTGCCACTTTTGGACTCTCGCTTGCTGAGGTGTTCCGGCGAGTGTCTCTGTAGATCTTAGAAAACTATTTCTAGATTTAAGTTGTTGACATGCTGGCTGATACACAAACAGGGGATGAGCTGGAGATGTCTCTGCCTTGGTCCTTTCACTATTGGCTGCTACTTCCTGGCGGATGTTAGGTGGTGCAATACCGGCTAAGCAGTGTAATTTCTCCAGTGGTGTAGGGCGCAGACACCCCGTGATAATGCGGCATGTCTCATTAAGAGCCACATCCACTGTTTTAGTGTGGTGAGGTGTGTTCCACACTGGGCATGCGTACTCAGCAGCAGAGTAGCATAGTGCAAGGGCAGATGTCTTCACTGTATCTGGTTGTGATCCCCAAGTTGTGCCAGTCAGCTTTCGTATGATATTGTTTATAGCACCCACTTTTTGCTTTATGTTCAGGCAGTGCTTCCTGTATGTCAAAGCACGGTCCAGAGTGACTCCCAGGTATTTGGGTGCGCTGCAATGCTCCAGTGGGATTCCTTCCCAGGTGATGCTCAGAGGTCGGGATGCTTGTCTGTTCTTGACATGAAATGCACATGTCTGTGTTTTAAATGGGTTGGGGATCAGCTGGTTTTCCCTGTAATAGGCAGTAAGAGCACCTAGAGCTTCAGAAAGCTTCTGTTCAACCATCTCAAAGCTCCCTGCTTGAGTGGTAATGGCACGATCATCAGCATAGATAAAACTCTCTGTCCCTTCTGGCAGTGGCTGGTCATTTGTGTAGATGTTGAACATGGAAGGAGCAAGCATGCTCCCCTGAGGCAGGCCGTTCTACTGGTTCTGCCATCTGCTTCTCTGGCCCTGGAACTCAACAAAAAAGCTCCTGTTTTGTAGCAGGTTTCCTATGAGGCGGGTGAGGTAGTAGTCCTTTGTGATACTATACATTTTTCTCAGGAGGAGGCAGCTATCTTCATAGGCTGCTGACAGGTCTATGAAGACAGCTCCTGTGATCTGCTGCCTTTCAAAACCATCTTCTATGTGCTGAGTCAGGTTCAACACTTGCGATGTGCAGCTTTTGCTTTTTCTGAAGCCAGCTTGCTGTGGGATCAGACAAGGGTCTATTTTTTCCGTAATTCTATGCAAAATGAGTCTCTCCAGAACTTTGTAGAGGTGGCACAACAGGGAGATTGGGGGACATGAGAGAAGCCTCCTCGCAGGATTGCAAGACATCTGGGCGTCCCCTGGGCAACGTCTTCGTTGATTCTCTCACCACAGAAGCAACCAGCATGCAATTATTATTATTATTACATGGCTTCAAACTACAGGAAAGGAGATTCCATCTGAACATTAGGAAGAACTTCCTAAAGGTGAGAGCTGTTCAGCAGTGGAACTCTCTCTCTCTGTCTTGGAATGTGGTGGAGGCTCTTTCTTTGGAGGCTTTTAAATGGAGGCTGGATGGCCATCTGTCAGGGGAGCTTTGAATGTGATTTTCCTGCTTCTTGGCAGAAAGGGGTTGGACTGGATGGCTCACGAGGTCTCTTCCAACTGTATGATTCTAAGATTCTATGGATGGGAGCATGTTTGTTTGATATAAAGAAAAAAGAGCGTGCTTTCTATTAAGACCCTGAAGTTTGCTGTTTGCTGTTTCCTCCCCTCGATTACCCAGCACGTTAAAAGGCTGTGACACTTCTCCACCACTTGCATTTTAAAATGATTTATCTCGAGTCTAAGCAATGACAAAATGAGAGCTTTGAATTTGCAAGAGGTCCCTTACCCTTGCAGGACCAGCAGCAGCCTCGTTTTCTGCCTGCCGTAAGAGGAGAGCCGGCTGTTGCGCTTGTGCTGGGATTCGAGGACGCCGGCCAGGTACTTCTGGAAGTGAGCGGCGCTGAAACATTCGGGGCTGTCCATGGTTTGGCGATAAACGAGCCACCTATAACACAGCATTGAGAACAGAATGAAGCCAAGTCTATCACAAGTCTCTTTAAAAACCACATTGTTTGCAATGCTGCCTACCTAACTGTTTGCAATCTCTTCCTATCTCTTCCTTCTATCTAGTTAAACCAGGAATGAGAAAACAACCTGGGCTCAAACCTCAATGATCTCATGGTTGAATTTTTTTAAAAAATGAAGTTCAACAGTGACATATGCAAGATACTCCACTTAGGCAGAAAAAACGAAATGCAAAGATACAGAATGGGGGACGATGCCTGGCTCGAGAGCAGTACGTGTGAAAAAGATCTTGGAGTCCCCGTGGACAACAAGTTAAACATGAGCCAGGAATGTGATGTGGCGGCAAAAAAAGCCAATGGGATTTTGGCCTGCATCAATAGGAGCAGAGTGTCTAGATCTAGGGAAGTCATGCTCCCCATGCTCTATTCCGCTTTGGTTAGACCACACCTGGAATATTGTGTCCAATTCTGGGCACCACAATTCAAGAGAGATATTGACAAGCTGGAATGTGTCCAGAGGAAGGTGACTACCATGATCAAGGGTCTGGAGAACAAACCCTGAGAGGAGCGGCTTAAAGAGCTGGGCATGTTTAGCCTGAAGAAGAGAAGGCTGAGAGGAGACATGATAGCCATGTATAAGTATGTGAAAGGAAGCCACAGGGAGGAGAGAACAAGCTTGTTTTCTGCTTCCCTGGAGACTAGGACGCAATGAAACAATGGCTTCAAACTACAAGAGAGGAGATTCCATCTGAACATGAGGAAGAACTTCCTGACTGTGAGAGCCGTTCAGCAGTGGAACTCTCTGCCCCGGAGTGTGGTGGAGGCTCCTTCTTTGGAAGCTTTTAAACAGAGGCTGGATGGCCATCTGTCGGGGGTGCTTTGAATACAATATTCCTGCTTCTTGGCAGGGGACTGGACTGGATGGCCCATGAGGTCTCCTCCAACTCTATGATTCTATGATTCTATGATTATGCAATGTTTTGACACTAAGTTAAAAAAAAACTGTTTCACAACACACAGTTTGCAAAGCTCTACTCTAAAGTGCTACAAGATCTCTTTGGATGCTGTCACACTTGATGTGCTTCCAGACAGAAGGCTCAAAACCCAACCAAACAAAGAAGAATATGCCATGATTACTTTTTCCCTCCCATTAAACAGAATCTTATATTGTCTGCTCCCCCACAAAATTCTTTGTGGGAGTCAGGATAGCCTCAGGATAAAAGTCTCACCTGGAAGCTCCTTTTTATGGAGATGCTATCCATTAAGCATCACAATTGTTGTTGTTGTTATTTGATACACAACAAGAATGGTACACAGCAAACAAGATCACTATGCTGGTTGTTGTATTGGATCACACATCGGATGCTTCCCAAATATCTAGAACTATGTGATGTATCAGCAAATAATGTGTGCAGATACAAGTAGGGCGGCCTTTTGCAGCTGACAGTAGCTTTGTTAGCTCTGATTGTTTTTAAGTACTGGCCAAGGTCTTTAGGCACTGTACCCAGTGTGCCGATCGCCACTGGGACCACCTTTTCTGGCTTGGCATCATCATCATCATCATCATTATTTGAAACACAACAAGATGAGTCCACAGCAGACAAGATCACTCTGCGGGTGGTTGTATTGGATCACACATCGGACACTTCCCTAAGTGTTTAGGACTGTGTGATGTATGGGTGAATAATGAGTGCAGATCCCAGTAAGGTGGCCTTTTGCAGCTGGCAGATGGTAATCTTGTCAGCGCTGATTGTGTTTAAGTGCAGGCCAAGGTCTTTAGGCACTGCACCCGGTGTGCCGATCACCACTGGGACCACCTTGACTGGCTTGTAATCGTCTTGTAAGATATCTCATGGAAAAATTGCAATATTGGTCCTGAACATGTATGTATTTAAGGTGCACAAGAAACACACATGAATTTTTATGTTTAGACATGAGTCTTGTCTCGTAAGATATCTCATGGAAAAATTGCAATATTGGTCCTAAACATTTTGGACAAGGAACACACAGCCTAGAGAGCGGAAACTAAGACAAATCCAGCTCAACGCTCTTTGGAAATTGCAGTTCAATCTATTATTATTATTATTATTATTATTATTATTATTATTTATACCCCAGTTTATCTCTCCCGAAGGATACCCAAAGTGGCTTAACATAAAAGCACATACAAACATTAAGACAGAATAAAATATAAACAGTATTTTAAAAATCACCGTTAAAACCCATTCAAACATATTCAATGCATATTCAAAGACTTCTGTCAGTGCGGAGAAAAGCAGAAAAGTTCCTCTCACCTTCCATATTCTTTGTTAAAGGTGACCAAGAAAGAAGCGAGGTCACCTGAGCGACAGCCTGGGAGACCCGTCAAGATGGTGATCACCACCTCAAAAAGGAAGGAAGAGTCACATTACATTACACTTCAATTATATGGACAAAGCTATAAAATTTCATGCACAAAGTTATAAATTATTTTGGGGAATGTATTTAAGGCGCACAGGTAACAAACATGAATCTTGTGCTTAGATATGAATATCATCTCTCATGGAAAAATTGCAAAATCGAAAAACCAAACTCTTCGGATCCCAAACCTTTTGGACAAGGAACACACAGCCTAGAAAGTGGGAAAACTAAGACAAACCCAGCTTGAAGCTCCTTGGGAATCTAACATCCTACAAAAACCACACTAAATAACATACATATGTGCTCATCCACTCAAGTGTCTTGAAAATTAGTTTTGGCTCTTTTTTGAGATTCTATGTAAACATTAGGAAAAACTTCCTGATCGTAAGAGCTGTTTCACAGGAGAATATGAATGCAGGGGGAGTCTCCTTTTCTCGAGATTATTAAGGCTGGATGGACATCTGACAGGGAAGCTTTAACTGTGACTTCCTGCATGGCAGAATGGGGTTGAACCAGATTTTTTTTTTTGTCGTGTCAGGAGCGACTTGAGAAACTGCAAGTCGCTTCTAGTGTGAGAGAATTGGCCGTCTGCAAGGACGTTGCCCAGGGGACGCCCGGAATGATTTGATGTTTTTATCATCCTTGTGGGAGGCTTCTCTCATGTCCCCGCATGAGGAGCTGGAGCTGACAGAGGGAGCTCATCCGCCTCTCCCCGGATTCAAACCTGTGACCTGTCGGTCTTCAGTCCTGCCAGCACAGGGATTTAACCCACTGTGCTACCGGGGGCTCCTGAACCAGATGATCCATCTATTGCAATCCTAGGATTCTACGAGGGTTGAATGAAAAGTAATGCCTCCACCTTCGTTACTTGGGTTTGGATGGGAATATTTTAATTAATCAAACGCAGAAATAATCCTTAGAATGTGCTCTTTAACTACCACTATTCACTTTTCCACATAATCACCAGACAATTGGATACATTTCTGCCAATGATGAACAAGTTTTCTGAAGCCGTCATGGAAGAAGTCGACACTCTCTTTCCGCAACTCATATTGCGCAGATCTTCTGATAGCCAAGCAAAGCAATAATGTGACCCACACGTTCTTCTGAAATGTTGATTATGCTTGAAATTTCTCTCTGAGTGATACGACAATCATCCTGAATCAATTGTCAACCTTTTTGCTTGTGAAACTTGGTGGTTGCTGTCACAGGACGTCCAACTCTTTGTTTGTCACGCAAGTCAGAGGTTCCCACTTCAACATCTTTAAACTTACTCGCCCAACGACACACAGTACTCACATCAACACAATCACCATAAGCAGCTTGCATTCTCTGTTGAATCTCCTTTGGGGTGACACCTTCTGCTGTCAAGAATTCAATGGCTGCACGTTGCTTAAGTCGCATTGACCGACCGTCTGCGCAGCGTTCCATACTTCACACTTTTAACAACACAACCGTTCAATGCTAAGGCTTCCCGCCAAAATGGAACTGCAGAGGAGAGTCTACTGAACAAGCCAGTACCTGCCGCATACCAGTACTGCCATCTGTTGAGAAGTTACGAAGGTGGAGGCATTACTTTTCAGTCAACCCTCGTATGAATGAGAGACCTTCAAGATCCGTACTGAACTGCCTTGTCGAGATAGCTCAAAACTTATGTGTTTTAGGATCCATTCATTTTTAGCAGCCTGTGTGTGATATCTGCTAAACTCTCCTCGGGAATCAGATTTCGAATCTATTGATTTTTCTCCCCAAATTTTGCTACATAGTGTGACATAAACCTGATATCGGTCAGGACAAAAAGTCTAGAATCTAGTACACACTTCTGTGCCACTTGTTGACTCATTTCTGGAAGAAGCAAAAGAACAAAGGCACACAAATTACTTTTGAAGGAAGAATGATGCATAAACTGAACCTTACCTTATCATTCTCGGCATTGTTATCAGGAATGATTTGCGATTCTTGCAGCAACGTTGGGAGATGAGCTCTCAACACTGGCTCACGGCTTACGCTGCTGACCGTAAAGTGCTGCTGAAATCTGAGAAAGTAAGATCAAAGTACAGACTTGTTTGTGACCATAGAGGACATACATCTTTAAAGAGTGGGATGGAGAATCTCTGACAACTATGTGACAACTACTGAAGCCACATAGTATTGTTATGTGTTCACATACACACAAAGTATGGGACCGGGTTGTGGCACAGCTGGTTGGGAGTCAGCTGTTGGGAGTCAGCTGTTATTTGGCCTCTGATCTCCTTCTTGTTGGCTATTCTCACACTCCTTCGAACTCTGAATTCCAAAAGATCAGCCCAATCTAAGATTCCCGTTTCATCAAGGTCAGGCTGCTCGTTAGCGTCAGCCTGGTTGCCTTCCTGCCTACTATCAGGCTGAGAGCTGTTCTCCTTTGCTGAGTCAATTTGCACCTGGCTAGTTTCAGTATCAAAAACATCATTCCCTGCTGTGGGAAACTGAACTTGCACACCCTGTTCCTCATTGTCTACAACAGGAACATTATTTTGAACCTGACTGTGTACCTGAATCCCATCATCCCTGTCAAAGTCACTCTGAGACCTCATCTGAGTCACAACACAAAGTACCCGCGCCTGCCAGGACCTATACCCGAGTGCCGAAAACCAGGCAACCAAACAGTTACTGTTCCCACTTTCCTTTCAGTGATATTTCCGTACCAGAGGAGGGTGGACTGTTTCGTGCCATCCGAATGAAACAAATGGTATGAAAACACGAATTAAACGTCTCAAACTGTTACCGGGCCCATGACTAGTTAAAGGAGTGGAAAAATCACAAATCAGCTCCACTGGCTGCCTATCAGCTTCTGAGCAAGGAGCCCCCAGTGGCGCAGTGGGTTAAACCCCTGTGCTGGCAGGACTGAAGACCGAAAGGTTGCAGATTCGAATCCGGGGAGAGGTGGATGAGCTCCTTCTATCCAGCTCCTCATGCAGGGACATGAGAGAAGCCTCCCACAAGGATGATAAAAACATCAAATCATCCGGGCGTCCCCTGGGCAACGTCCTTGCAGGCGGCCAATTCTCTCAGACCAGAAGCGACTTGCAGTTTCTCAAGTCGCTCCTGACACGATTAAAAAAAAAAAAGCTTCTGAACACAAATCAAAGTGCTGGCTTTGGCCTATAAAGCCCTGAACGGTTCTGGCCCAGTTTACTTGTCCTAACATATCTCCCGCTACGATCCACCTAGGGCCCTAAGATCATCTGGGGAGGCCCTGCTCGTTGTTCCCCCATTGTCGCAATCGCGTCTGGCAGGGACAAGGGACAGGGCCTTTTCTGTGGTGGACCCCGGCTATGGAACTCCCTCCCGAGTGAAATTAGATCCGCTGCATCCCTCTTGACCTTGCAGAAACAAGTAAAATCCTGGCTATGGGATCAGGCCTTTGTAGATTAGGCTGACTTGTTGACGTGTTGACTTATTTAGAACTGATAAATTGCCCTTGGATAATGATTTAAACCGGTGACTAACTGATTGATTGATTGTTTTTATATTGTTTTATACTGTTTATACTGTTTAATAAGATTATTAAGACACTAAGATCATCTGGGGAGGCCCTGCTCTCGGTCCCTCCTGCATCACAGGCGCGCTTGGCAGGGACGAGAGACAGGGCCTTCTCAGTGGTGGCCCCTCGGCTGTGGAACGCCCTGCCTGCAGATATCAGATGGCCCCCTCCCTGCTGGCGTTTCGGAGGAAAGTGAAGACCTGGCTGTTCAAACAAGCATTTGATTAAACAGTGTAATTGAACATAGGAATACGGAATAATGGATGACGAGACTGGATTCTGATTTTACTGTTGAGGCGCTAATGATTGATGTTAATGATTTATGTTACAATTGTTTTTAATTGCCCTATACTTGTTTTGTGATATTTTGTACTGATGTTGTTCACCGCTTTGAGTCGCCTGAGGGCTGAGAAAGGCGGCATAGAAATAAAGTAAATAAATAAAAAGTAAATAAATATTATATTGACGTTAAATTGTGTATCTTTTTGATGTGGGCGCCATGGGGTGCCGATCTGTTATCCGTTCTGAGTCCCTCTGCGGAGGTTGAGATAGGATAGGATATAAAAGCCCGAAATAAAATAAATAAATGTCTCTATGACCATATAATCATAATAGAGAAGATAGATATTCTCAGAGAGATGTCCTCTCCAAGAACTGCTAAAGTTTCCATCATGAGTCTATGGACAATGTGTGGCAGAAGCAGATCATAGGGTTGTGCTGGAGGACCTAATGAAGACCTAATCACCAGAACTGCAAAAGGTAAGCCTACAAAGCTGTAGGAATCGAGTGTAATGCAAGAACATGACTGAAATCTCACCTGTCCAGATCTGGAAGGCTTGTGGATATTCTTAGCTGGTTCCATCTTTCCCCAGGAGGACAGGTCAAGGCATCAAACAGCTTCTGCATGTTGGAATGCCTAGAACAAGGAGACAACGTTAAGACCTTGTTGTCACTCTCAACTTGGAAAACAATAGGTTTCTTTTCAATGTCATTGCTGCCAAGTTGTGAGATGACCATTTCTGAAGCTCAGAGCCCTAATAATAATAATAATAATAATAATAATAATAATAATAATAATAATAATAATACAATATGATAATTATGTATTTTATATTACAGGTAATATTACTAATAATATTACAGTATAGTGGTATAGTACAATATAGTAATATATAATGCTAATATTGTGCTGTGCTAATAATATAATATATTACATACACATATAATATTGATTATAATATTATAATGTAGTACAATATAATTCTAATAATAATGCAATATAATAATTATATATTTTATATTACATGTAATATTACTAATAATATTACAGTATAGTAGTATAGTACAATATAGCAATATATAATACTAATATTGTGCTGTGCTAATAATATAATACTGATATTATAATGTAGCATAATATAATTCTAATAATACAATAATTATATATTACATGTAATATTACTAATAATATTACAGTATAGTGGTATGGTACAATATAGTAATATATAATGCTAATATTGTGCTGTGCTAATATATTTATTTATTTATTTTATTTATTTATTTGAGGCACTTATAGACCGCCATTCTCAGCCCTTACGGGCGACTCATAGCGGTGTACAGTACATATAAAAGACAAATTACAAACCAGTGTCAAAACATATAGCAACAATTACAATTACAGACTACACAAAAATCCGCTTCGTCTCTTAATAGAATCATAGCCAATCTCATCAGCCTTGTACCATTCCAGATCTCATTACCGTATTATCTGTTTCTTAGCACTTAATTAAATGCCCTCTCGAAGAGCCAGGTCTTAAGGTTCTTCCGAAAGGACATGAGGGAGGGCGCCTGTCTGATGTGTGTCGGGAGGGTGTTCCACAGCCGGGGGGCCACCACCGAGAAGGCCCTCTCTCTCGTCCCCGCCAGCCGTGCCTGTGATGCCGGCGGGATCGAGAGAAGGGCCTCCCCAGACGATCTCAAGGTCCTCGTGGGCTCGTAGGCCAAGATGCGGTCAGAGAGGTATTTTACACATATAATATTGATTATAATATTATAATGTAGTACAATATAATTATTATTATAATAATACAATATAATAATTATATATTTTATATTACATGTAATACTACTAATAATATTACAGTAGAGTGGTATAGTAGGTAGAGTGGTATAGTACAGTAGAGTGGTATAGTGGAGGTAAGATCAGCCCCCTCATTGATGGTTTTCCGGAAAAGACTAAAAACCTGGATGTTCGAGCAGGCGTTCGGTTAACTCAGTGCAATAAGTGTAATGATTGAAGGACTGGCAATTTGGACGACGAAACTGGATCGCGATTTTAGTCAAGAGATGAATTGGATTGTTTATTGATATATGTATTGTGGATCGTGTTTTTATGCTTTTAAACTGTATACTGTTGTTTGTTATAAGTTGTTGTAAACCGCGTTGAGTCGCTGGCTAGGCTGAGAAACGGCGGTATACAAGTATAGCAAATAAATAAATAGTACAATATAGTAATACATAATAGTAATATTGTGCTATGATAATAATATATTGTATAAATGTATAACTTGTAAGCTGCTCTGAGTCCCCTTCGGGGTGAGAAGGGCAGCGTATAAATACTATATATATATTCGTTTTGTGTCGTTTTTCGAGGTCCTTCTCACTCCGAAGGGGACTCAGAGTGGAGTGTATATATATATATATATATATATATATATATATATATATATATATATATATACACACACACACACACACACACATATATATATATATATATATATATATATATATATATATATAGGTATTAATATATTACTGATGTTGTGCTGTGCTGAAAATATAATATATTGTATGCACCTATAATATTGAGAATAATATAATGTAATACAATATAATAATACAATATCAGAATTATATATTTCATATTACATGTAATATTACTAATAATATTAGTATCTCTGGATGCTTCAATTTCCCCATCGAGGCTTTCAAAAAGGGCAGATGTGGTGCCATGGCCCAGAGAATAGAGGGGATCAGTGCTCCTTTTCCCAGTTTAGACCACAATATAAAGGTAAAGGTTTAAGTCTCGTCATGTCCGACTCTAGGGGGTGGTGCTCATCTCCATCCCTAAGCTGAAGAGCCAGCGTTGTCCATAGACACCTCCAAAGTCATGTGGCCAGCATGACTGCATGGAGTGCCATTACCTTCCCACAGAAGCGGTACCTACTGATCTACTCACATTTGCATGTTTTTGAACTGCTAGGTTGGCAGAAGCTGGGGCTAACAGCGGGAGCTCACCCTGGATTCGAACTGCCATCCCTTGGGTCAGCAAGTTCAGCAGCTCAGTGGTTTAATCCGCTGTGCCACCAGGAGACCCTTAGATCACAATACTGACTGGGAAATAATGGAATATTGGTGCTCTTTATGGCTGGCATATTGAAGAAGAGCACTCTGCAGGGTAACATTTGCCTGTCAATGTTATTTGTCTGATGCAATTGTACTGAGGGGGAAAAGCCACTTGCTCACAATTTCTCTTGTTCTGCAGGAAGGGAATCGCCTTGGGCCATCTTCAAAGTTATTCCCGAAGTCCCCCGTTGCTGCCAGGCAGAGGAAACCTGCAACGAATAACAAAATCCCAACTGGATGAGTTCATTCTGCAGGTTAGTTAGTAATTCAAAAATCCGTTAAAGGTAATATTTGTTCTGGGAGGTGAATATCCACGACGGTTATCGAGAGGATTCTTTGGATGCAGGTCATTAACATTTCCAAATTAAAAAGGCTCACTTGGAAAACTCTGAAGTGTGGTTCCCAGACCAGAAAATGTTTTGTTATCATCGTTAATAATACTGACAAGCCAAATTAACTTGGTCTGCTTTAGATGTTAATAGCTAAGAAAGCAAACGTTTCCCCCCATGTCAGCATTAATATAAATTATAGTAGGACTTGCACTTTCACGGGGGTTAGGGGTGCAGGAGTGCTGCAAAAGTGGGAAAACTGTGAACTAAAAAAACAAACCCACAATTCTTTTAATTGAGAAAACATATCTTTGGGAATGTATTGTCGAAGGCTTTCATGGCCGGAATCACTGGGTTGTTGTAGGTTTTTTCGGGCTATATGGCCATGTTCTAGAGGCATTCTCTCCTGACGTTTCGCCTACATCTATGGCAAGCATCCTCAGAGGTAGTGAGCCTCACTACCTCTGAGGATGCTTGCCATAGATGCAGGCGAAACGTCAGGAGAGAATGCCTCTAGAACATGGCCATACAGCCCGGAAAAACCTACAACAACCCATCTTTGGGAATCTTTCTTGCTTATCCGACCTTTCCTTATCCGACATTCCATCTCATCCGACATCCCCTTTTTCCTCCAGCATTTGCCCATCAATTAAAGGAGCGCTCCTCAACTCTCTCCATTCTCAATGTGAAGAAGGCAAGACAAGGAGGAGGAGAAAGGAGGAAAAGAGGCAGGATCAGAAGCGGAAGCATCCTCCCTCCTTTCCTCTGTGATTTCCACGCTTCTCTTCTGCATCCGGCCACTTCCAGCTGGGTCACTCTAGCCCTGAGGTGTTGCCTTCCCTTAACCCTTTGAGTCTCTGTTGTTTGTATTCTAGGGGTCTAGCGCTGCGTCAGACAGATAACAGTAGGACTTTGTATTATCTGACATTTTCGTTTATCTGACGTTCTGCCGGCCAGTGTTGTAACTCAGCTTGACTCTGAGTCTGAAGCTGAGCTCTGTAAGAGAGAATTCCTACAGGATGATGAGGGAGATGATGGGTTACAGATTTCTGTACGTGCTTCAGACAGGCCTGACGGTGGGGCTGCTGAAGGGGAAACAGTACGTCAGTTCCCAAGGGAAAAGAATGTTAGTGAGACTGATAACGAGAGTGAATTCCCACATGGCCAGGTGGAGACGTCTTTTCCTCCCCACAGTGATCCGGTCCAGCTGGACCAAGATAAGGCGTTACATAGCCTTGAGGATAATGAATTAATGAGCAGGCAAGATCGTCTGCAATTAAGGCTCTGGAGAAGCACTCGCTTGGCTAGCAAGCGAGAAGCCAAGGGTGCCAAAGGTCAACGCAATGCGTTCATGTCTGCAAAGGGTATTTAGCCTTGTAGCTGACAAGCAGGGGCTGTCAGTCCAACGTAGCTCTTTCCATGCAAACTTCTGTGGATTAACTCTGGCTTTTAGCAGCACGCTTCTGACTTCCTGAGTGGGATTTGGGCCTTGTTTTCAACTGTTTTCCATGGACTCTTGTTTGACCATTGCTAAAGGATTATGCTTCATGTTTTTGCCTTTGGATCTTGGGAACTGTGTTCTTGCATTTAAGCTTTTGATCTGCCTATGGATTTTATGCATTTCATATACTCTGTTTTGATTTTGCCCTTTTCTCAATAAACTACAAAACCTACAGCTTTGGTGTGGTGGTATCTGGAGCAAGGTGAAAACTACCCTGAGTTGCAACAGTCTGTTTATGTCGGATAAGCGAGACTACTATATTTCAGATTTCAATATTAGTGTCCAAAATAGTACATAGTTCGATTTTACATAGGATTTGTGCTATATTAGAACAGTAAATACACATATCACTTAAATAAAAGCAATGCAGAATAATCACAGGATGTCTTAAACCTACACTTATTGATAAACTCTACAAGCTAGCTGGCATTGCCCCCCTGATGTGTGATGGAAAGTTGCTGCTAAATGTGAGAGAAATAAAGCTGAACCCTGTGAAAGCCCCCCACTACATGGCTACCAGCCTCCTCCCAGTAGACTCAAATCAAGGAAAAGCTTTATGAGAACTAACACTTCTCTTGGCATCCCCCAAGCAACAGCAAGGGTATCCCTCTGGGCAGCTAAACCAGGAAACCCCAACTGGATGGCCCCCCACGAGGAAGGATGGAAAGAAGGAAGGGTGGAAGGGAATGGAAGGGAGGAAGAGAGGGAAGGGGGAGGGAAGAGAGAAAGAAGGAAAGACAAAATGGAAGGAAGGAAGGAAGGAAGGAGAAAGAGAGAGGGAAGGAGGGAGGGAAGAGGGAAGGAAGGACAAAGGGTGGAAAGGTAGGAAGAAGAGAGGGAGAAAGAGGGAGGTAAGGAAGGGAGGGAAGGAAGGATGGAAAGAAGGAAGGGTGGAAAGGAATGGAAGGGAGGGAGGGAAGAGAGGAAAGAGAGAAAGAAGGAAAGACAAAAGGGAAGGAAGGAAGGAAGGAAGGAAGGAAGGAAGGAAGGAAGGAAGGAAGGAGAAAGTGAGAGAGGGAAGAAAGGACAAAAGGGGAGAATGGAAGAATGAAGGAGAAAGAGGGAGGTAGGAAGGAAGGGAAAAGGATGGATGGAAGAAGGAAAGAAGGGAGGAAAGAGGGAAGAGAGAGGAAAGGGAGAAAGAAGGAAAGACAAAAGGAAGGGAAGGGAAAAGAAGGAAGGAAGGAGAAAGAGAGGGAAGGAGGGAGGGAAGAGGGAAGGACAAAAGGGTGGAAGGGTAGGACGAAGAGAGGGAGAAAGAGGGAGGTAACGAAGGAAGGGAAGGATGGAAAGAAGGAAGGGTGGAAGGGGATGGAAGGGAGGGAGGGAAGAGAGGAAAGAGGGAGGAAAGAGGGAAAGAAGGAAAGACAAAAGGGAAGGAAGGAAGGAAGGAAGGAAGGAAGGAAGGAAGGAAGGAAGAGAGAAGGAAGGAAAGGCAAAAGGAAGGAAGGAAGGATAAAGAGGGAGTGAGGGAGGAAAGAGGATGAAAAGGAGAAAGACGAAGGGAAGGGAGGGAGGGGAGGGAAGAGAGAAAGAAGGAAAGACAAAATGGAAGGAAGGAAGGAAGGAAGGAGAAAGAGAGAGGGAAGGAGGGAGGGAAGAGGGAAGGAAGGACAAAGGGTGGAAAGGTAGGAAGAAGAGAGGGAGAAAGAGGGAGGTAAGGAAGGGAGGGAAGGAAGGATGGAAAGAAGGAAGGGTGGAAAGGAATGGAAGGGAGGGAGGGAAGAGAGGAAAGAGAGAAAGAAGGAAAGACAAAAGGGAAGGAAGGAAGGAAGAGGAAGGAAGGAAGGAAGGAAGGAAGGAAGGAGAAAGTGAGAGAGGGGGGAGAAAGAGGAAGAAAGAAAAAAGGGGAAGGGAAGGACAAAAGGAAGGAAGGAAGGAAAGAGAGGGAGGGAGGGAGGAGAAAGGAAAGAGAGAAGGAAGGAAGGAGAGAAGGAGGGAAGAAAGGAAGGAGAAAAAAGGAGGAAAGAGAGAAGGAAAGACAAAAGGGACAGAAGGAAGGAAGGATAAAAAAGGAGAGAGGGAGGAAAGAGGGAAGGAAGGAAGGACGAAAAGGTTGAAGGGAAGGATGGAAGAAGTATGAGGGAGAGAGATAAGGAGAAAGGAAAGAGGGAAAGAAGGCAAGACAAAAGGAAGGAAGGAAGGAAGGAAGGAAGGTAGGAAGGAAGGAAGGAAGAAGGAAGGAAAGAGAGAAGGAAGGAAGGATGGGATAGTGAGAGATAGGAGGGCTGAGTGGTAGCAGGATGTACATAAATTATACAGACCTCTTGTACTACGAGGACAGCCAAATGAAGGCACACGAGAGTCAGTTTTCTTCATTGAACAGGGAAGTCCTTTTCTGTGTGTGGAATACTGAATATACAAACCTCAATGAAGAAGACACAATGTAAGGTTTATAGGGGAATTTCAGGTAGATGTTTCCCTTCATTTCCTTGAGAATAAAGAAGTACAACCACAGCAATAATAATAAATAAAATAAATAGAGAAAAATGATAAATAATAACATAATATTAAAGTAAAATAATAAATGTAATAATAATAATAAATAGAGTAAAATAATAAATAATAAAAATTAAATTAAAATAATAAATGTAATAATAATAAATAGAGTAAAATAATAAATAATAACAGTAATAAAGAAGGAAAGAAGGAAAGAAGGAAAGAAGGAAAGAAGGAAAGAAGGAAAGGGAAAGAGGTGGAAGAAGGGAGGAAAGAGGGAAGGAAGAAAGGATGAAAGCGTGGAAGGAAAGGAGGGAGAAAGAGGAGGGCAGGAGGAAGGAAAGAGAGAAGGAAGAAAGGATAGGATGGTGGGAGAGAGGAGGACCTGGGAAAAGAGCCCAAGGTGTCACATCTGACCCCAGTGCCTGGATTTGCCCATATCTGCTGTAATTCATACCTTGGAGATATGAACTAAGTCTAAACACTACATTCATTTTACCTTTTACACAATTTGCCTGAAAGTAAGTTTATACACCTCATTCTTAACAATTCTATTCACTAAACAAAGCCTGTGTGTACTGAACTATCTGAAAGCAAAGGTGTCCCTATTCCGGCTACAAATACGAAGGATTTTGGAACATCCTGGAATTCCAGATAAGGGATGCTCTGATTCGATAAACCATACTGATCTTTTCAACATAAATTTTTGTTCAATGGTTTAAAAAGCTGTGTTAGTTGCTTCCTCCCACGCCCGCCCTTTCCACAGGGATTTGCAATTGGATGTATACACCTCCACTGAACAGAGACTGAAACTGGAGGCAAAATAAATAGTGCTATCTGCAACGTTTGAGTTGAAAGAGCTCTTTCGCAAGTTCCAGAGGATGCTGCAAAACCTGGACAATTAATCTTCATGTGAGAACTCACCTAACAGCCTGAGTCACAGAGGAGAGTGCAAAGGCAAGAGCAGCAAAGACACTGAGTGTATCTTCATCATACATTCACAACAGGGAAAGCCTAATGCAAGTGGGGGAGGCTACAATAGTGCAAGAATCAAAGGACAACTTTGCGTTTGGGGAGGAGGAAGACCATGCTGCGAGCATTACCTCTGCATAGAATGCTTTGTAAAGGCTTGACTTCGGGAAAAGGGCGATCATCAGCGAGTTGCTTGGGGTGTGGAGCTGGATGGGCAAATGAGGAAGCAGGGAGCTCTTGTAGTCTATGAGGAGAGCAGCCACCACGCTGGTGGAATCCTAGGAGGAGGAAAAGGAAGAAGTCAGTGGAATTTCAGAAGGGAGAATGCATGGACAAAGACGGACTAGGGGTGCATCGAGACCAGAGTTCTTGGCTGAAACGATTTGAGGACCCCTGATCTAAACTATTCATGGAGTTTGATACCACTTTGACTGCTATGGATCAATAATAATAATAATAATAATAATAATAATAATAATAATAATAATAATGGGTTGTAGGTTTTTTCGGGCTATATGGCCATGGTCTAGAGGCATTCTCTCCTGACGTTTCGCCTGCATCTATGGCAAGCATCCTCAGAGGTAGTGAGGTCTGTTGGAACTAGGAAAAGGGGTTTACATATCGTGGAATGGTCAGGGTGGGACAAAGGACTCTTGCCTGCTGGAGCTAGGTGTGAATGTTTCAATTGACCACCTTGATTAGCATATAATGGCCTGACAGTGCCCGGAGGCCATTATATGCTAATCCTGCCAGGCACTGTCAGGCCATTATATGCTAATCAGTTGAAACATTCACACCTAGCTCCAGCAGACAAGAGTCCTTTGTCCCACCTTGATCATTAATAGTCTTGATCGTTCAGAGGAGAGAATACGTTCGGACAGGTAAACCGGGCCAGAACCGTATAATAGTAACAATAATAATCTAAAATGTAATTAACACACCATGAACATTATTTCATATAGAATAATAATAATAATAATAAAGCCAGAATTGAAAAGTTGACAACAGATCTCAAGTGTAGACTCTGCAAGGGAGCAGATGAAACAATAGATAACATCCTCAGCTGCTGCAAGAAGATCGCACAGACAGACTACAAGCAGAGGCACAACACCGTTGTTCAGATGATTCATTGGAACTTGTGGCACAAATACCATCTGCCTTCCACAAAGAACTGGTGGGATCACAAGCCGGAAAAAGTTACAGAGAATGAACACGCCAAACTCCTCTGGGACTTCCGAATTCGGACAGAGCACAAGACTCTTGATTTCACAACGAAGTATGGATCGTTGATGACACAATCCCAGGTAACAGCAGGATTCCAGAGAAACAATTAGAAAAGCTGACATGATATGAGGATTTAAACATCGAACTGCAAGGACTCTAGCACAAGCCAGTGAAGGTGGTTCCAATGGTGATCGGCACACTGGGTGCAGTGCCTAAAGACCTTGGCCTGCACTTAAACACAATCGGCACTGACAAAATTACCATCTGCCAGCTGCAGAAGGCTATCTTACTGGGATCTGCACGCAGTATTCACCGATACATCACACAGTCCTAGACACTTGGGAAGTGTCCTACGTGTGATCCAATTCAACCGCCAGCAGAGTGTTGTTGTGTTTCAAATAATAATTGTTGCGTTTCAAATAATAATTCTATGCAAAACAACATTCATGGTGTTTATTAAAGGATGGCAAATGATTCTTTAACAAAAGATTAAACGAAATAATTCAGAGCACTGAAAAGCTCCTGCAAATTGAATTTTGGCACACAGAATTCAAACTTCAAACGCGACCACTTCCACAATAGCACTCTTTTCCTGGATAGCGATCGGCGGAAATACTTAATGCAAGAAAATAGGCAGCCTATAGAGAAAGCAGACTGGTAGGCTTATTTACTTGGAAATTAAAATGCTTATCTTTTTTCCGAAATATCTGCGCTATTGCTATATTACACACGTTCCCCAAACATCAGAGACGTTCCCCTCATTTATGTTATTTTTAGCTCCCGGGCCTCACGCCTTGCCAGGTCAGTGGAACAATACAAAGGCATTTTTTTGCCTTGCATTGCTTTCCACAGAATACCTGGCAGCACTTCAGAAGTGATAGCCAGCGACCCATAAATAGCTCGAAAGTTAATAGAAAGCCGGGTGTCTTGGAAGCAAACAATGCAAAAGGGGAAGTCAAGGCCCAAACACAACTTTGGAGTGTGATAAAGAGGGCGGTAAAGAGAGGAACCCAATGGGATGCTTCAAGACCTTTTCGCATTTTGACCCACGAAAGCCCCCCTCCATTATGCATTGTTCTGCATGTACAATGCACCAAATGCTTGTGCAGTGATATAATTGAGGATTCAAGACTGAAAAAAACACAATGCCAATCCCTATTTACCGAAGCTCTAGGTGCCCTTACCGCCTTACTACAGGAAAAACCAGCTGATCAACCCATCTAAAACACAGACATGTGCTTTTCACCTTAAGAACAGACAAGCATTCCGAGCTCTGAAGATCACCTGGGAAGGAATCCCACTGGAGCATTGCAGCGCACCCAAATACCTGGGAGTCACTCTGGACCGTGCTCTGACCTACAAGAAGCACTGCCTGAACATCAAGCAAAAAGTGGGTGCTAGAAACAATATCATACGAAAGCTGACTGGCACAACCTGGGGATCACAACCAGACACAGTGAAGACATCTGCCCTTGCGCTATACTACTCTGCTGCTGAGTACGCATGCCCAGTGTGGAACACATCTCACCACACTAAAACAGTGGATGTGGCTCTGAATGAGACATGCCGCATTATCACGGGGTGTCTGCGCCCTACACCACTGGAGAAATTACACTGCTTAGCCGGTATTGCACCACCTGACATCCGCTGGGAAGTAGCAGCCAATAGTGAAAGGACCAAGGCAGAGACATCTCCAGCTCATCCCTTGTTTGGGTATCAGCCAGCATGCCAACGACTTAAATCAAGAAATAGTTTTCTAAGATCTACAGAGACACTCGCTGGAACACCCCAGCAAGCGAGAGTCCAAAAGTGGAAGGCTCAAACCCAGAACCTCAAGCAATGCTTGAATGAGAGACTCCCTCCTGGGCACACAGAAAACTGGGCGACTGAACACACTGTGCTCTGGCAACACGAGATGCAGAGCCAACCTCAAGAAATGGGGCCACAAAGTGGAATCCATGACATGCGAGTGTGGAGAAGAGCAAACCACTGACCACCTGCTGCAATGCAACCTGAGCCCTGCCACATGCACAATGGAGGACCTCCTTGCGGCAACACCAGAGGCACTCCAAGTGGCCAGATACTGGTCAAAGGACATTTAATCAACTACCACGCTTGCAAACTTTGTGTTTTGTCTGTTTGTTGTTTTGTTAGAAATGTAATACAACTATCTGGTTTCTCCTGTCACGATAAATAAAAAAACAAAACTTGTTTACGAATAAGTGGCTGACTGTACTTTAGTCACAACTTCGGGAACATCTACACTGTAGAGTTAATGCAGTTAATGACACCACATTAACAGACATGGCACAATGCTATAGAATAGGCATGGGCCAACTTGGGCCCTCCAGGTGTTTGGGACTTCAACTCCCACAATTCCTAACAGCCGAAATGTGGGGGTTGAAGTCCAAAACACCTGGAGGGCCCAAGTTGGTCCATGCCTGCCATAGAAGTTGTAGCTTCACAAATAGTGCTTGTGCCTCACTAAATTGCAAATCCCAGGACTCCACAGCATTGCATAGGAGTTAAAGTGGCATCAAACTGCATTAATTCTACAGTGGAGATGCACTGTTCATCAACAGCTAGGAACGAAGTGAGAGATCATGTAGTGGAAGGCAAGGGGAAGAAAAAATGATAGACCTCAATATGTTTTGAACTGCAATACCCCTTCATCTGGTTGCCTGGGGCTGATGGGACTTGCAGGCCAAAAACATCACAGTTATCCATCTTTAATTCTCAAACATACATCCAGTCTCCATGCTTTGAAAATCCTTTTAGGATCATAAATAGAGGCAAGTAGATTGAACTCAGCAGTTTAGATAATGATGTAGTGTTATATGGGATCCTGGCTTGGTAGACTAAGGTTCTGCCCCAAAATATGGGATTCAACAATCGTTAAAAATATCAGTGATGAAGAAACAAAAGGTTAATTATGATAGCTGTACAGTTATACAAACTCAGTAATAAGGAGCAATACTACTTCCAGAATACTTATGTCACATTTGTGGTTTGTGTCTTGCTCTGGTGTATCGCCAGAACATATATTATTTATTATTATTATTATTATTATTATTATTATTATTATTGGGTTGTTGTAGGTTTTTCCGGGCTATATGGCCATGTTCTAGAGGCATTTTCTCCTGACGTTTCGCCTGCATCTATGGCAAGCATCCTCAGAGGTAGTGAGGTCTGTTGGAAATAGGAAAATGGGTTATTATTATTATTATAAACTCCAATATGCTGACAATAACGTATGTTTTGGAGAAGCAGCTTAGAATATTTTTGTACATGTTTAACTTGCTAGTAACTTACATTATTCCCTATATCAGTGGTTCTCAACCTGTAGGTCACCTGATGTTTTTGCCTTCGATTCACAGTGAATCGCAGTGGTCTCTGGACCTTCCCACCCAAAAAATCGGGTGTCCTTACAAATTTTTGAACATCCTGCAGCTCCTCCATGATGGCAACAGCCTTGGACAGCAATGGCTCCCAAAGTGACCCATTTAAGGTGGAATCAGGTGTCAAACAGGGATGTGTTGTTCACAATGCTCTCTGAATGTAGGTGAACTACAACTCCAAAACTCAAGGTCAATGCCCACCAAACCCTTCTAGTGTTTTCTGTTGGTCATGGGAGTCCTGTGTGCCAAGTTTGGTTCAATTCCATCGTTGGTGGGGTTCAGAATGCTCTTTGATTGTAGGTGAACTATAAATCCCAGCAACTACAACTCCCAAATGAGAAAATCAATTTTTTTGAGTGAAGGACATACATTGGGTTGTTAGGTGTCTTGTGTCCAAATTTGGTGTCAATTCCCCCAGTGGTTTTTGAGTTCTGTTAATCCCACAAACGAACATTACATTTTTATTTATATGGATATGTGGATTAATAGGATTTTTAAAATGACAATCCATAGGTTGGGTCCAATTCTGCAAACATGGGAAAGGAAAGGACAAAGCGGGGAAAGGATCGTCACTTACTCCGTCGTAGAACCTGAGGGACGTCATGTGGGTCTTGGAGATGGGGATGCTTCCATAATGGGGGTGGCAGAAGAGAAGGCCCTCGGAGAAGAAGTAGAGCCTCCCTGCAAATTAAAAGAAGGGATAAAGGACTATGAGCAACATTTTAAGATATCTAACTCGTTACTTATACTACAATCCGACATGATACTGGGAGACAGAGTCATCGAGCTGAAGGCATCTCAAGGCTATTGACTCCAATCCCATCCTTCCCTGCAGGAATCCTCGACGCTTGAGAGATGGCCACCTAACCTCTGTTTTAACGCCTCCAAAGAGTAAGAGTCCACTATCTTTTGAGGCAATCTATTCAACTATTGAAAAGATCAGCCTGTTCAGCAAGCCTTGAAAATTCTGTATTGTCAAAGGTTGTCATGGCTGGAATCACTGGGTTGCTGTGAGTTTTTGGGGCTCTATGGCCATGTTCCTGCAGCATTCTCTCCTGACTTTCTGCCTCATCTCTGGCGAGCATCCACAGAGGTCTATTAGAAGTGAAGCAAGTGGAGTGTGGGTGTGTGTGTGTGTATATATATATATACACACACACACACACACACACACACACACTGTATATACTCGAGTATAAGCCTAGTTTTTCAGCGCCTTTTTTAGGCTGAAAAAGCTCCCCTCGGCTTATACTCGAGTGAAGGTTATTTATTATTTTACTCTGTTATTAGTATTATTTTTATTCCATGTATTATTTTACTCACTTTATTATTATTACATTTACAGTATTTTACCCATTATTATTATTATTATTATTATTATTATTATTATTATTATTACATTTATTATTTTACACTATGATTATTATATTTATTATTTTAGTTTATTATTATTGCATTTATTATTTTACTCTATTATTTCATTTATTATTCTATTCTATTATTATTGCATTTATTGTTTTACTCTATTATTACATTTATTATTCTACTCTATTATTACTGTTATTATTGCATTTCCATTATTTTACTTTATTATTATATTTATTATTTTACTCTCTTTATTATTGTTGGAAGGATACGGAAGCGCATTTACACTGAAGATATGTAATGGTTTAATCAGAGTTTGGCAGTCTTATCTCAAATTACAGTTTTATGTAAATATTAAAAAACATTTCACCTCCTGATACACCAATTAATGTAATTTTATTGGTATCTATTTTCATTTTGAAATTTACCAGTAGCTGCTGCATTTCCCACCCTTGGCTTATACTCGAGTCAATATGTTTTCCCAGTTTTTTGTGGTAAAATTAGTTGCCTGGGCTTATATCCGGGTCGGCTTATACTCGATATGGTATATACCTTTGTTTTGTTGTAATTGATGTTCTACTTTTATTTAGAGCAGGATATGCCAAGGTTTGTAAGCAGCCCTCTTAGACCTATTTGGGCGAATGAGACTAACACCATGTCATCTGCATATAAAAGGGCAGAAATCTTCTTTGATCCTACTGAGAGTGGAAAGAATTCTGGACCCGAAAGTGCCATTGTTATTATATCATTCGAAGATAAATTAAAGAGTGTAGGTGCCAGCAGACAGCCTTGTTTTACTCATTTGCTGGTGTGAACTGGGTCGGTTAATGAGCCGGAGATGCCAACTCTTGATTCTAGCAGTGGTATCGGAGTATAATGCCTTGATAAGAAACTACAGGTTTTTATCTATTTTAGTGTTAGTCAATTTTTGCCACAATTGAGTTAACTGAGCCCAAGGCTGCAGCTAGATCAACAAAGGCCACAAATAGATGTTTAGTTGGTCCTGCGATTGCTTGTTGGGCTAAGAAGTACAGAGTCAAACACTGGACAATTGTGCTCTGTCCTTTCCTAAAACCAGCCTGTTCAAGGTGGATTACTGTATATACTCGAGTATAAGCCTAGTTTTTCAGCCCTTTTTTTAGGCTGAAAAAGTCCCCCTCGGCTTATACTCGAGTCAAGATTATTTATTATTTTACCCTTTAATTGTTATTATTATTATTTTCATTTCATTTATTATTTTATTCTATTTATTACTATTACATTTATCATTTTACTCAATTATTATACATTTATTATTTTACTGTATAATTATTGTTATTGCTACATTCATTATTTTACTCTTTTTATTATTATTGTTATTACTGCATTTGTTATGTTACTCTCTTTATTATTATTGGAAGGATACGTAAGCACATTTACATCGAAGGAGGTAAATAATCATTTAATCAGAGTTGGGACAGTCTTATCTTAAATTACCATTTTTGTAAATATTCAAAAATATATAAACTACTGATTCCTCAATTAATGTAATTTAACTGGTATCTATTTTTATTTTGCAATTTACCCATAGCGGCTGCATTTCCCACCCTCGGCTTATACTCAAGTCAATCCGTTTTCTTAGTTTTTTGTGTTAAAATTAGGTGCCTCGGCTTATACTCGGGTCGGCTTGTACTCGAGTATATACGGTTAGCAAATTCCCACTCTTCTAGTTTGATTAACATATGTTGTTGTTTTTATCTTGGCAATGTAATACAATGGTCTGGTTGCCCCTGACACGATAAATAAATAAAAATAAATCTTGGCAAATTGGTTGAATATGTATTTTATCTGATACGTATTTTTAACTTATTGTTTGTGTATGATGTTTTAAATGGTTATTGTTGTTAGCATTGAATTCTTGCTCTTCGCCGTTCTGAGTCCCTCTATGGAGGTTAGAGAAGAACGGGATGCAAAAGTTTTAAATAAATATGTTTGCTATAGAACTTAGAATCAATATCTAAGAGGCTAGTGAGTTGAAAGTTGTTGGGATCTGGCTTATCACCCTCCTTGTAAATAGGGACGGCTATGCTCTGTTTCCAATCCTCTGGGATTAAACCTGAGTTGTTGGTTTGTGTAAACACTTGAGCGTATTGGGCATTTGTGCCAAATTTGGTCCAGTGAGTGAAAATACATCCAGCATATCAGATATTTACATTAGGATTCATAGCAGTAGCAAAATTACAGTTGCGAAGTAGCCACAAAAATAATTGTATGGTTGGGGGTCACCACAACATGAGTCACTGCATAAAGGGGTCGTGGCATTAGGAAGGATGAGAAACACTGCCCTAGAGCAGTGGTTCCCAATCTTTTTTGACCATGGACCTCTTGACCAGGGTCCACTCTCCAACATTAGTACCAAAAGGGTTACGAATCAGTTTTTGGTCAACTTTACATTCGGTTTGGGGTGCTGATTCAGAAAATTGCATTGAAAAGACTACAACAGCTCTAGTTTCTGATATAGAGTATATGTTATCCAGTTTATTTATTATTTATTTAAAATATTTATATTCCGCCCTTCTCACCCCAAAGGGGACTCCAGGCGGAGCACAGCATATACACGGCAAACATTCAATGCCGGGACACAAATTCACATACAATACATAAACATTAAAAAACACTTGTCAAAATATTAAAATACACCATTTAAAACCGTCCAAGCCATCCGCATCAAATCCAAGTGGCCCTGTCATCTTTCCCACTGCCGCTTCATTGCCCTGTCTTGAAAGCTTGGTCCCACAGCCAAGTTTTTACCATCCTTCTAAAGGACAGGGAGGGGGCTGACTTGATCTCACCAGGAAGGGAGTCCCATAGCTGGGGAGCAATCACCGAGAAGGCCCTGCCTCTCGTCCCCACCAATTGTGCCTGTGACAATGGCGGGATGGAAAGCAGGGCCTCCCCRGAGGATCTTAATCTCCGAGATGGTTCATAGGGGGAGATGGGTTCGGACAGGTAATTTGGGCCGGGGCCGTTTAGGGCTTTATAGACCAAAGCCAGCACTTTGAATTGTGCCCGGTAGCAAACTGGCAGCCAGTGGAGCTAGCATAACATGGGTAATGGTAACAGTTGTCACCATTGACTCGCTAACCATGAAACTGCAAAGTCAATCARTGAGGGTGTTTGCATAAAGGTAGCCTGGCTTCTGTTCAAAACTCAAAGAGGAATGATAATGAGAAAAACAAATCTAAAATAAATGGGAATGTGCATGAGTATATGTGGAGCTCTTGTAACAGTTTGGCCCAAAGTTACCTTCCTCTGCTCGACAGAGTGAGTTGCTAGAAGCGATATAGGCACCATCGCCTCCCGTCAAGAGAACACCCAGGAAAGACTCTTCTTGCTGAAACACAAAGGTTTCATGAGGCCAAAGAATGGTAAGCAAGATATCAAGTAAGAAGATAGTTTTGAACCTATAACCTTAGAGAAGAGCAGCATCCCAACATCCCCAAGTTAATGGTGTTTTCCTTTCTCTTCAATGAGAGGACAGAACATCCTCTGACCCACACTGGATTTATGGTGGTGACTCTACCAAGTCTGCTGTATCACCCCAAGGAATCAATTTTCAACTTCCTCTCCAGTGTCATGTATTAGAACAAGGTGGGAACCATGCAGCCTCCCATATGACAACTCCCAAGTTCCATCACCCTTGGCCTGGATGCTGGGATTTGCAATCCAAACACATCTAGAGAGCAGCATGACTGTGACCAGTGCTTTAGAATGAGGCGAGACACAGATTGTATGTAGGTACAATATATTATATTATTAGTAAAGCACAGGAGAAAAGATGCAACTGTCTTCTGCCCCCTTCTCTCTTCACTCTGGCTCTGCGACTATTATGCAAGAAACACAAAAATACCAATTTTGCCACCCAAAACTGGAGCTGTTATGCGGTAGTGACTACTATGCAATGAAATACGATATATACACACACACACACTAGCTGTACCCGCCATGCTTTGCTGTGGCCAACCTTTCCTCTTTCTCTCCTTCTTTCCCTCCTTCCCTCCCTCCTCTCCTTTCTCTTCTTCATTTGCTTTCTTTCCTCCCTTGCCTTTTCTTCTGTCCTTCCTTCCTTCCTTCCTTCCTTCCTTCCTTCCTTCTTTCTCTATCTCTTTCCTTCCTTCCCCTTTTTTCTTTCTCTTCTGGTCTCTTTTCTTCCTTCTCTCTTTCCTTCTTTCCTTCACTCCCTCTTTCTCTACATCTTCCCCCTTCCTTCACTCCCTCTTTCCTTCCTTTCCTTTTTTCTTTCCTTCTCTCCTTCCTTCCTTCTCTACCTCTTTCTCCTCTCTTTCTTCCTTCTCTACCTTCCTTCCTTCCTTCCTTCCTTCCTTCCTTCCCTCCCTCCCTCCCTCCCTCCTTCCTTCTCTCTTTGTTTCCATGCTTCCTTCTCCCTTTCTTTCTTTCTTTCTTTCTTTCTTTCTTTCTTTCTTTCTTTTTTCCCCTTCCCTCCTTCTTTCTTCCCTTTTTTCTGTATTGTCATTTTGCTTTTTGTCATTTAGCTTTTTGGGGCTTTTAAAGTCCCTTCTGCCGTGTTTTTTGGTGCTTTTATAAGGGCATACACTGGGTTGTTAGGTGTCTTGTGTCCAAATTTTGTGTCAATTCGCCTAGTAGTTTTTGAGTTCTGTTACTCCCACAAACAAACATAACATTTTTATTTATATAGACTAGCCGTCCCCTGCCACGCATTACTGTGGCCCACATGGGGATTCCGTGTGGGAGATTTGGCCCAATTCTATCATTGATGGGGTTCAGAATGCTCTGTGATTGTAGGTGAACTATAAATCCCAGCAACTACAACTCCCAAATGTCAAGATTCTATTTTCCCCAAACTCCACCAGTGTTCACATTTGGGCATATTGAGTATTTGTGTAGAGTTTGGTCCAGATCCATCATTGTTTGAGTCCATAGTGATTCTCTGGATGTAGGTGAACTACAACTCCAAAACTCAAGGTCAATGCCCACCAAACCCTCCCAGCATATTGCTGACCAGGCCTGTAGCGAGGGGGTGGTTTTAGGGGTTCAACCCCCCCCCGAAATGTTTCAGATTTTTTTTTAAAAAACTGGTTTACTCATGAATTTTAACTGGTTAACCAAATCCCCATGCTAAGTCTATAAGATGCAAAAAATTAAGAGTCCCTCCAGAACTGTAAGCACTATCTCAAGCAAATATTGACAATTTATTCACACTGTCATTACTTGCAGCAATAGCCGATGTAGTGAAGCAACCAAGTTGGGTGTGTATGTGTGTTGAATGCTCTCATTAAGGAGGCCAGACTTGGTGGAGGTGGTTGACAGGGGTGGAGCTGTGGGCTATTGAAGGTTGCTCTGCCTCTTTGCTTCAGCGTGAGCTAGGAGGCAGGTTTCAACCCCCCCCCCCCCCCCCCCCGAACAAGCGTCAGGGTTCGATGGACCGTGGGGGCTCGAGATGATTATCACCTCCACGAATATTTGCAGCCGCCCGCGGCCGAGACCTCAAATTGTAAACGGGCCTGGCCAGCGCGAAGAAAGTATTTTTTGCTGGCTAAGCCGGTCCGCTGGATGGCCCTTACAGCATAATAGCCTTGCCAGTATTTTCTGTTGTATTAAAAGCATGCCAAATGAAGTTCTAAAAGAACAGCTGCATTCCATGCGTTGGTGGAGGCTTCTCAGTATATCTCTATGATTGTAGGTTAAATCCTGTTTTCAGGGTGACAAAATCAATTTTTGTTGAGTGAAGGACAAAATGACAAAACCATTTTTTTGGCTGAAGGATATACATTGGGTTGTTAGGTGTCTTGTGTCCAAGTTTGGTCTCATTTTGTCCAGTGGTTTTTGAGTTCTGTTACTCCCACAAACGAACATTACATTTTTATTTATATAGATATAGCCAAAGAGACCAACTCTGTAGGTCTTCTAGTGTGATTGTAGGGTCAACTTCCACCAGAAATTGACCACAATATTGGACTCAAGTACTATAAATGCCTGGAGAAATGTTCTATCCAGAAATCTCTAGGTCCTTCAACATGACTATAGTCAACTTCAGTCTGAGGTTGACCACAGAGTTGTGCTGGAGGATCCAGAGATTCCTAGAATTGAATGTAAACATGTTAAACATGAGTACAAACCTTCAAGATCTGCTGGGCCTTCTCTGAAAGCTTCACTTCATTATCTTCAACCTATAACCAAAACCAACAAGTAGTTCATTTCCTTTGTGATAGCACTTTGTATGCAATTAGGATGGAACAATGTAATGGAATGCAAGTTCATTCTCCAGAGGAGGGCGACTAAAATGATCAAGGGTCTGGAGAACAAGCCCTATGAGGAGCGGCGTAAGGAGCTGGGCATGTTTAGCCTGAAGAAGAGAAGGCTGAGAGGAGATATGATAGCCATGTATAAATATGTGAGAGGAAGCCACAGGGAGGAGGGAGCAAGCTTGTTTTCTGCTTCCCTGGAGACTAGGACGCAATGGAACAATGGCTTCAAACTAAAAGAGAGGAGATTCCATCTGAACATGAGGAAGAACTTCCTGACTGTGAGAACCGTTCAGCAGTGGAACTCTCTGCCCCGGAGTGTGGTGGAGGCTCCTTCTTTGGAAGCTTTTAAACAGAGGCTGGATGGTCATCTGTCAGGGGTGATTTGAATGCAATATTCCTGCTTCTTGGCAGAATGGGGTTGGACTGGATGATTGCCCATGAGGTCTCTTCCAACTCTTTGATTCTATGATTCTAGGTGCATATCTTCTTTTTGTAACTCATACAGTAGAGTCTCACTTATCCAACCTTCACTCATCCAACGTTCTGTATTATCCAACGTAGGCTGCCTCCCGCCTGGATCCACAGCTGTTTCAATACATTGCCATGTTTTGGTGCTAAATTAGTAAATACAGTAATTACTACATAATATTATCGTGTATTGTATTGCTTTTTGCTGTTGATTTGATGTAAAACATGATGTTTTGGTGCTTAATTTGTAAAATCATAGGCGTTTAAAAGGCTTTTCCTTAATTCATCCTTATTATCCAACATATTCGCTGACCCAACGTTCTGACGAACCATTTATGTTGGATAAGTGAGACTTTACTGTATTTCAAATGCAGCAATCAATAGCATTACGGCAAAAATGTGTACATATGATTCACAATCGCTGCAGTCCAAAACCACAGTGTCTTGTCTTTCTGGTAATGCTGGCGCGCTTAACATGCTCATGTGTGAGAAATGCTTTGAACATTTCCCCAAAGGATGGCAGAAATTACTGGAGGAGGCTTAAAAGACTCAAGCATAAAACGAAACCATTGGCCTCTTTCACTGAACTGTCACAAACAAGATCAATATTACCAAGCATTCTCAACTCCGCATTGAAGAAATAAGCAACAAATGCTAATGTCTTAAGGGATTTGGGATTTGAGCAGCAACACATCAAAACGACAAAGATACTTCCATATCAGAGCAACAAACAGATGATATCTACTGGCAAATGAGCAACTTTTTGAAAAAGATAATATTAAATGTATTAGATGGAGTAGGGTAAAGGTAAAGGTTTTCCCCTGACATTAAGTCTAGTTGAGTCCGACTCTGGAGGTTGGTGCTCATCTCCATTTCTAAGCCGAAGAGCCGGCGTTGTCTGTAGACACCTCCAAGGTCATGACTACAAGGAGTGCTGTTACCTTCCCGCCAAAGTGATACCTGGGTTGTTGTAGGTTTTTGCAGGTTATATGGCCATGTTCTAGAGCAGTGGTTCTCAACCTAGGGGTCGGGACCCCTGGAGGGGTCACCAGGGAGTGTCAGAGGGGTCACTAAAGACCATCAGAAAACACAGTATTTTCTGTTAGTCTTATGCGGGAAGTTTGGCCCAATTTTATCGTTGGTGGGGTTCAGAATGATCTTTGATTGCAGGCGAACTATAAATCCCGGCAACTACAACTCCCAAAATATCAAGAAAGATTTTCCCCAAACCCCACCAGTGTTCACATTTGGGCATATTGAGTATTCTTCATTCTTTGAGTCCACAGTTCTCTCTGGATGTAAGCGAACCACAACTCCCAAACTCAAGGTCAATGACCACCAAACCCTTCCAGTATTTTCTGTTGGACATGGGAGTTCTGTGTGCCAAGTTTGACCCAATTTCATCATTGGTGTTCAAAATGGTCTTTGATTCCAGGTGAACTATACATCCCAGCAACTACAACTCATTACAAAATCACCCCCCAACCCCACCAGTATTCAAATTTGGGCATATCGGGTATTTGCGCCAAATTTGGTCCAATGAATGAAAATACATCCTGCATTTCAGATATTTACATTACGATTGATACCAGTAGCAAAATGAGAGTTATGAAGTAGCAAGGAAAATAGTTTTATGGTTGGGGGTCACCACAACATGAGGAACTGTATTAAGGGGTCGTGGCATTAGGAAGGTTGAGAAACACTGTTCTAGAGGCATTCTCTCCTGATGTTTCGCCTGCATCTATGGCAAGCATCCTCAGAGGTAGTGAGGTCTGTTGGAATTAGGACAATGGGTTTATATATCTGTGGAATGACCAGGGTGGGACAAAGGACTCTTGTCTGATGGAGCTAGGTGTGAATGTTTCAACTGACCACCTGGATACTCCACCTCAGACATCAGAAGAGCTGCAAGACCGAGAACAAGCCACGAGAGTCAAGACAAAAATCCACCCAGAGGGAAAGTGTTCTTGCCAGACATCAAGGGAACCACTGACCGCATAGGGAAGCTGGTGAGGAAACACAACATGCAAACTATCTCCAGACCCACCAAGAAAATCCAACAAATGCTCCGTTCAGCAAAGGACAAGAGGGATCCTCTCACTTCTGCAGGAGTCTCCCATGTACCATGCAGCTGTGGAGAAGTCTACATAGGGACCACCAAACGCAGCAGCATTGCCCAGACACGAATCAAGGAACACGAAAGGCACTGCAGACTACTCCAACCAGAGAAGTCAGCCATAGCAGAACACCTGATGAACCAACCTGGAAACAGCATATTATTTGAGAACACAGAAATGCTGGACCACTCTCACAACCACGTCAGGCTACACAGAGAAGCCATTGAAATCCACACGCATGTGGACAATTTCAACAGAAAGGAGGAAACCATGAAAATGAACAAAATCTGGCTAAAAACCCCTCTAAAATTATTATAGCAAAACAACAGTCAAACACAGGGAAACTCCAAAGAGGAAACAATCAGGGACAGCTAATCACCTCGCAACAAAAGATTCCCCCAGGCACTAACAAGCCACAAAAAAACAACTGCCAGGCCATCAAATGCTAATCAAGGTGGCCAGTTGAAACATTCACACCTAGCTCCAACAGACAAGAGTTCTTTGTCCCACTCTGGACATTATTCCAAGATATATAAACCCAATTTTCCTAGCTCCAACAAACCTCACAACCCCTGAGGATGCCTGCAATAGATGCAGGCGAAAAGTCAGGAGAGAATGCCTCTAGAACATGGCCATATAACCCAAAAAAACTCACAACAACCCAGTGATTCTGGCCATGAAAGCCTTCGGCAATACATTGGTTATATCCAATTCCATTTGCTAGAAACTGGGAACACACAATTTCGTTCCTTGTCTACTTCTCCAACTTCATGCCCAATTATCCTCCTATTATTTCAGTTTCTGCTGCTTAACCTCTCCAACATCTTGGCGGAACAAAAGCTGACCTGGCTCTTTTCTCCATTTATTGTATTGATTTCCTTTCTTCAATAATAACGTTGGTGTAAGAATTGAGTTCCAGTTGCACCTGGAGCTACTATTAGGCTTGGGCAATCCATGGTTCTAAATGGTTCTAAAGTACTTACAAAACTAAAGTTCTGGTGGTGAAAATTTCAGAACTCTAACAAAACTCTCAAAATTTCATAATAAATGGCAGTTCCTAATTGGTTCTGTCATTAAAATCACCAATAATGAAATAATAATTAAATTTTGAGAGTTTTGTTAGAGTTCTGAAATTTTCACCACCAGAACTTTAGTTTTGTAAGTACTTTAGAACCATTTAGAACCATGGATTGCCCAAGCCTAGCTACTATCTTAACGTTTTCCCTTGAGCTTAGCAGGTTCACATCACAAGAACAGTTTGGCAACTGCATTGGACCTCAATTTTAATAGAAGAGAAGTACTACTTACCAGCCAGGAAACGGATCTCGGGATGGCTGCAGTCAGAACGATGCAGCTGGTTTCTGGGCGGATGCTGCCATCTGCAGCAAAGACAAAGCAAATCAGAGGCAAGGTGGTTGCAGGCCTTTTAGATCTCGGGCTTCAAAGCAGTGCTTTTAAGAATGCAAGCAAACCTAATTCATTTATTTACTATATTTATATACCACCTTTCTCAGCCCAAAGGCGACTCAAGGCGGTTTACAGTCTGCAATCAATGCCCCCAACAACATAAAATATACCATATATACTCGAATATAAGCCAACTCGAATATAAGCCGAGGCACTTAATTTTACCACAAAAAACTGGGAAAATGTATTGACTTGAGTATAAGCCGAGGGTGGGAAATGCAGCAGCTACTGGTAAATATCAAAATAAAAATAGATACCAATAAAATTACTTTAATTGAGGCATCAGTAGTTTACATAAAACTGTAATTCAATATAAGACTGTGCAACTCTGATTAAACCATTATTCTAACCTTCTTCAATGTAAATATGCTTACATGTCCTCCGATAAGAATAGAGTAAAATAATAATAGAGTAAAATAATAAACGTAATAACAACAATATAGTAAAATAATAAATGTAATAACAACAACAATAAAATAATAAATGTAATAATAATAATAACAACAAAGTAAAATAATAAATAATATTGACTCGAGTATAAGCCGGGGGAGACATTTTCAGCCTAAAAAAAGGACTGAAAAACTAGGCTTATACTCAAGTATATACAGTAATTAAAAACATTAACATATAAGCCATATAAAACAGTAGAAACAATATTGGCCATGTATAAATATATGAAGGGAAGTCATAGGGAGGAGGGAGCAGGCTTGTTTTCGGCTGCCTTGGAGACTAGGACGTAATGGAACAATGGCTTCAAACTACCGGAAAAGAGATTCCACCTGAACATTAGAAAGAACTTCCTAACGGTGAGAGCTGTTCAGTAGTGGAACTCTTTTCCCAGAGTGTGGTAGAGGCTCTTTCTTTGGAGGCTTTTTGACCATCTGTTGGGGGTGTTTTGAATGCGATTTTCCTGCTTTTTGGCAGAATGGGGTTGGACTGGATGGCCCATGAGGTCTCTTCCGCCTATGATTCTGTAATGGAAGTCATCCACTCCAATAGTGTGAGCTATTGCCCAACATTTCCTATTTCAGTGGTAACTGAGGCATAGTGTCATGGATTTGGGGGGGGGGGGGTATTTATATTATATAAAGAGGTAGCATATTCATTGTTTTGATGGTTTTAAAGAAGTAATACACCCACCCATTTTGATGCATTCTTGGTATGGGCAGGCATGGGGGGGGGGGGGGGGGGGGCTTGAGGGGCTTCAGCCCCCCCCCCCCCGAAATTCTCATGGTGGTTCGCGAAAAGGCCTTACTGGTGCATTATTTAAACTGTTATGTTTATTCATATCATGATCTGATCACCATGCTCAATATATCCCATATGCATGGGTGTATTGGGGTAACGATACAAAAGGTTTGCTAGGGTAGACCCTCTTTCACTCGGACTCAGCCCCCCCCCCCGAATCGAAATCCTGGCTACGGGCCTGTGGCTGGGGGAGTTATGGGGCACTGTAGTCCAAAAAAGTCAGTTTCCTAAGCCCTCTGCAACATACTGTAGGATGTGTAGGAACTGTCTTTAGCAGGTCATCGCTAGCCTTTTTTCTGAAGCATGGAATGGGTGCTGTACTTAGAGAGGATTAGGAAGAGTTCCTGAATCATGAGTATTGTAGCTCAGCCAGCTGAGGATGATGTGGAGAGGTTTGATATAGTGCAGCCAGCTGAGGATGATGTGGAGGGGTTTGATATGGTGCAGCCAGCTGAAGATGATGATGAGGGGTCTGGGGGTGTAGGGTCTGCTGGCCCTGATGTTTCTGACAGAGGGGATGTTGCAACAGGATGGCAATTCCCCCGTTGGGAGAACGGAGGGGTTTTTGGTGGACTCTCTGTGTGCAAACAAAACTGTTTTGCAGGCTGTCAGGCAGAGAAGGGAGGAAGAGAGATTAGACAGAGAATCGAGACTGCTTCTGCTGGGGAGGAATTCCAGGTGCAAGTCAAGCGATGGGAAAAGTGGCTGAGAGAATCTACTCAAGGCCAAAAGAATGCTTTCATGCATTGCTGTCCTTAATAAGGGGGAAAACTGCTTTCAGTTTTTAGATCAAACAATTTAGCAGATAGAGCAAGGAACTCTTGCCTTGGTTCCTGCTTCAAGTCATGTCTTGGTCAAGTTTTGCTTTAAGTCTTGGGGATTTTACCATGAACTCAAGCCCATGTATTGTTCTTTGATTCTTGGATCACTTAAGTGGATGTATTATTCCTCATTTTTGGATTATTCAAGCTCATAATTATACCCGACTCCTTGGATTTATGTTCATGCTTTAACCTTTGCATTGGAGATTTATATCTGGTTTTTTGAGACTCTTTTTATCTAACTATTTGGATTTTTTTACTCTTTTATTGTGTGTGCTTTTTCAATAAACTGTTTATTTCTACATTGGGATTTCTGGTGAGTGCTTGAGCAAGGTGAACCCTAGCTGAGGTGCAACAACGAGCAGAAAAAGTGCTATTTGCTCTCTCTCAAGGGAGAGGAGATAGAAAAGGACAGGAAACTGACAGTGCCTTCTCAGTACAAACAAAGTCCATGGCAAAGCGGAGCTGTCTTACTCGGGAGAGCCTTTTCCTCGCCTGAGCAACATAATTAGCAGTTCATATAGTTCAGGTCCAGCCAACTCTAATAGTCAAGCTTTGGAGCTGTTCCAAAACCTCTGAAATCAAAGCGGTTGCCAGAACGAGAGCTTGGATCTGCTGGCTCAAATGCCACCACACTAAAGCAGTGGACTCCTTAAATCCTTCACCCTGCTTCTCAAGCAATTAATATAATCTATTTTTTTTTTGTTTGGCAAAGCTTGTGAAAGCAAAGCAAGGCATTAATGCCTCTCCTAATAAGGGGGAAAGTGACGTCTTCATTCTGGAACGGAGCCATCTGCCAGTATCGGCTAGAAAAGAATGTCTTGCTTTTGCTCCTTTCAGCAGTCTGGAACGGAGCCACTTGGGAGCATGTGAAATCACTTCATCATCAGTCCATCTGTAATCTGAAATCATGCTCAGCATTTCCATGAAAGGGCCCTGTGCTCTATTCCAGTTTCTCTTGCACTCTCCAGGCTTAGGATTTTGTAATATCCAGACAACTAAACCACACTTTCTGGTGGCTTCCTAAACTTTGGGTAACAGGAAACTAAAAGAAATCAAGTACATAATAGTGGTTGCACCTAAATATTGTTAGCAAATTGAGATAAATTACCTTCCTTATCTCAATCTGCTTCGACCTTTCAAGCTTCTGCCTTAAGGCATGAATAACACCAAACTCCTTCAATTCAGCTTTCATCCGAAAGCAGCACTTATCTTTATTGGTATTTACACAATATTGTTGGAGTTCAGCCTGTGATCGTGTTTCAGGATCAGGGTGCTTTGGATGTGGGGAATGATGTAAATGAGGTTCAAGATGGCAATGGTTTGGAGTCAGTGATATTGATGCAGAGAATGACAGAGAGACACCTGTTCAAAGTGTAGTTTCTCATGAGAATGTTCCTACAGAATATAAGGATGATGGTTTACTCCCTGAATTACTCCCAGAGAGTTCCCAGGATTTGGGACTTGAAAACAACTCGGCACCTGTAGAAACTAATGAGTATATAGCTACGCGGGTGGAAATTAGTCAAAACAGACAGGCCGAGCAATGCCTTTGGCGTTCCGCCAGGCTTCAACAGAAAAAGATAAGGGCCGCTCAAGGAAAGCAAAACCAGTTCCTGAGTGTATGTTGTATGTACATGACTTGTAAGCTGCTCTGAGTCCCCTTCGGAGTGAAAAGGGTTAGGGTTTAGGGTTAGGGTTAGGTAAAAAAAAAAAAGTAGTAGTAGTAGTAGTAGTAGTCAGTGCTTGGAAAGGCTTAAAAGTTCCAAGCATGGAAAATACAGTCAGATGAAGCATTGTTTAGAATCATGCTAAGTTCTTGTCCTCATCTTATTGAAGCCTTGTTTGGAAGATTCATGCTTAAGGATTTCTTCTTTCCTGGTTTGTTTTTCATCTCTTGTGAATATCTGCTTATGCCTTGGATCAACGTTCGCTGGTTCTTTGGATTTTGTTAGAGAGTTGTGGACTTTGTTTTTGGGCATTGCTGAACTCTACCTTGGATTAATTTGTTCCTGATTATCTTTTTACCTAATTGGATTTAAATCTCTATGTGTTTTGTCTATATGTGAATTATATTAATTGTATTGTTTATTTGCTTATTGCTTGTTGTTTTTATTGATGTGTTGTTGGGCTTGGCCTCATGTAAGCTGCTCTGAGTCCCTTGGGGAGATGGTGGCGGGGTTTAAATAAAGTATTATTATTATTATTATTTACCTACTCTACTAAGCGCAGAGTTTACGGAGGTCAGCTAGATTAAGAGAAATCCAAACACGGCCTTCAGGCACGTCATGAAATAGATTTCTATGCTTTAAAGACGCTTAGCCTGGATGCCCATTTGGTCCAGGCATTGTTTCAGATTCATGAACAGTCTCTTGCATTCTCCTGCTTCCAGTGGCTTTGTTCCAAGGACTTTTCCTAGTGCTTCAAGTACGGTTAGTGGTTTGCTAACAGGTTCCAGGTTTTAGCAGTGTTGCTGTGGGTTTTTGATATTGTTCATGGACATTTCTGGTTGCTGAGTTTTACTGTGACTTTTTACCTTGCATTTTTTCCTCTATTTTTGTACTCATCTTTCATCAATAAAAAGGATTGATTTTTCCTGAAGTCAAGTGTGGTGGATTGTTGTCTTAGGGTCCAGTTTCCTGTTCTGGGTCGCAACAATACTTCACAACTCTATGTATTAACTCATACATTATTGAAACCACACAGTTTAAACTATAAGTAATTTTCATATCATATAAAAACATATACTGAAAAGTATTAGGAAGAACTTTCTCAGAATAAGAGCTGTTTAACAGTGGAAGATAGTGCTGCCATGAAGTGTGGTGGAGCCTTCTTCTCTGGAGGTTTTTAAACAGAGGCTGGATGGAGGAAGGTTTGCTCATGCCATTACAAACTGTGACTGGGCATGACCAAGCCAAAGCGACTCTCATGTCCACAGAGCATTTTTCATCTTGTGCTGGAGATGTGAACCAGTTAACTTACCCTTTTCCTTCACAAGGATCTGTGACACCAGGAAGGATTCTGAGAAGACAACCGATCCCAGGCAGCCCCTTCCACCCAGCAGATCAGGAATGTCGTATATTGTCATGGAGACCTGCGGAAAAGCAGAGGGCAGAGGGAGAGAGAAACAAGAGAGTTTTCTCAAGTTTCCATGTTCAAGACCCAGCATTTCCCAATTCAGGAAATAACCATTTACAAGATTTTGATGGTCAACAGAATGCTGCTTTGGACAGAGTGAGTATAGCATCTAGTACTGCAAACATGGCTAAGGCCAGGAGCTTTAGGGCTGGGATACTTTGGAAAGTTTATTTTCCTCTATAGTAGAGCTGTGCAAAAATATCCCCAGGCTACCCCATGGTCATAATTTGGTTAGAGGAGGGTTTGGTCTCCAAATGCTCTGATTCACCTCTGGTTTCTTCCTGAACTTAAATACTGTATTTACTCAAATCTAATGCTTACCTTTTTGGATAAATGACCTCTCCAAATTTAGATTTGTAAGTAATGTAGCAATCTCAGTGCTTTCTTCGTGTCAGGAGCGACTTGAGAAACTGCAAGTTGCTTCTGATGTGTTTTGTATGTCAGCTTGTAATCTAAGATCATCCGGGGAGGCTCCCGTCAACATCACAGATGCGTCTGGCGGGGACGAGAGACAGGGCCTTCTCGGCTGTGGCCCCCCGCCTATGGAACACACTCCCAAATGAGGTAAGATCCGCTCCCTCCCTCCTGGCTTTTAGAAAAAAATTGAAATTATGGTTTTGGGACCAGGCCTTCGGGCAGTAGAAGTAAATGTATGCAGCATTTCGGAAAGACAATGACTGGAACGGCAATCCGACCGACTAGACTGTTTTATTGTTTTAATTATTGTTTTATTGCTCATGGATGTATTTTTAAATTTAATTTATGTCTAACTGTAGTGTATAATTGTAACTGTTTGTACTGGCATTGAATTTTTGCCATTACTTATGTGTAAACCGCTTTGAGTCCCCCTCGGGGTGAGAAAAGCGGTATACAAATACCGTAAATAAAATAATAAATAAAATTGTTCAGCCTGTGATTGTGTCTAATGATCAGGTTGCTTTGGATGATGGGAATGACAATGTTGTTCAGGTTCAAGTTGATTCCTCTTGACGAGAATGGGGATGCTGCCCATGAAGATGTTCCTGAAGGGAATGGGGATGATGGTCTGTTTCCTGGGCCTGGTTTTAGAGATGTGGGGCCTGAATGCAGTTCAGTCGATGGGTCAGAGAGTCCTGTATTGCTGCAAAAAGATTCTCAAGGTCTTGAGCCTGGGAAAGGCTCTGCGCTGCACTCCCCTAGTCAGGTTATCTCCAGGTGCAGATTTTAATGAAGGCTTGAACAGAAGAAGTGTTTTCAGTCAGCAAAGACAAACAAACCAGGAATTACGGCGCTTAGCCAGATTACAGCAGAAGTTAGAAGTGAATCCAAAGTTAAGGAAAAAATCTGTTCTTAGGCGTTTGGGAAATATGGCAGGGATATAAGTGCCAAGTACAGAATCTAGCTTCAGACGAAGCAACGTTGGATTCACGTTAAGTTCTTCATGCCAGGTTCCCAGACTCTTGTCTTTGTTTGACTCCTGTTTTAAGTGCACTTAGCCAGATTACAGCAGAAGTTAGAAGTGAAACCAAAGTTAAGGGAAAAATCTGTTCTTAGCTGTTTGGGAAATAGGGCAAGGATACAAGTGCCAAGTACAGAATCTAGCTTCAGACGAAGCAATGTTGGATTCATGTTAAGTTCTTCATGCCAAGTTCCTTGATTCTTGTCTTTGTTAACTCCTGTTTTAAGTGCCTTTGCTGATATTTGTGTTTGAAATCAACCATCTCGTTTCCTGGACTTCTTTGGACTATTTCTCTTTGGACTAATTGTTTCTTTTTCTTCCGAATCAATTGGATTTACCTTTTACTGTGGATTACTTTTTATTGTATTGTCAAAGGCTTTCATGGCCAGAATCACTGGGTTGTTGTAGGTTTTTTCGGACTATATGGCCATGTTCTAGAGGCATTCTCTCCTGACGTTTCGCCTGCATCTATGGCAAGCATCCTCAGAGGTAGTGAGGTACTTTTTATTGCTTTGGCTTTTATTACCTTCAATAAACTGCTTGCTATTTCAACTCAACCGTGTGATGTCTAAAGTAAGAGGGGATCTTGCTCTGGAGTGCAACAGTGTGAGAGAATTGGCTGACTGCAAGAACGTTGCCCAGGGTCCACTTGGATGTGTTACCATCCCGTGGGAGACTTCTCTCTGTCCCCGCATGGGAAGCTGGAGCTGACAGATGGGAGTTCAGCCCACTCCCCAAACCGCCAACCTTCCAGTCAGCAGTCCTGCCGGCACAAGGGTTTAACCCAGTGGTGCCCAACCTGTGGTGCGTGGATTACCAGCGCTCCACAAGAACTAAAATATGGTCCATGGCATCACCTTCCCATCCCTTGCTACTTGGTCCTTTTAAGATAATGATTGCCAAGAGCTGAGATTGGAATGTTCTTTGTAAAAAGCATGCATTATGTCATTGAGTTATTCTTTAAAAAATCCCACTGTCCCATGCCAAAAAAGCCATTTACTGGTTCCACAAGGTCAACGCAGCCAGGAACACCTTCTGCCTGGAGGGATTCTTTTTTTGAGCTTGGTGCTAATGTTCAGCTCTTACAGAGATTACATTTCTAAATCTGCAGCCTGGCACTTTCCACCTAAACCTGCCTCAAACTCCCAGGAGGGATTTTCTAACAGCTTTCCCCCTTCCAATTTGCAGAAACCTTCCCAGCATTTCAGAAAACAGCAATAAGCCTCCAAGGCATTCCAGTGGGAAACTGCAAACATATGTTCACTTGGAGGGGGAAGTATGTGCACGACTCCACAGACGATTTATACTCACCGTTTTCACTAAATAGAGACTATCCTCATTATCCAGTGGAATAATCCTAGAGGGAAAAAGGAAACACATGTTAATATTTCAGGAGCCACAAATGGCCCATCTTTAGATTATGCAGTAACCAAATAATTCCCATGTTCTGCTTCCTGGGAATTGTTTGGTTACTGCATAATCTAAAGAAGGTGCTACCCCATTCTGTAGAAATTACAATTCAGATGTCGCCGTGGTTGAACGTTTGTTGATGGCCCATTTGACACAAACTTCTTCTTTTGCGTTCTCAAAAGCTTTCATGGTCAGAATTACTGGGTTGCTGTGAGTTTTCTGGGCTGTATAGCCATATTCCAGAAGCATTCTCTCCTGACGTTTCACCCACATCTATGGTAGGCATCCTCAGAGGTTGAGGGGGTCTGTTGGAAACTAGACAAGTAAGGTTTATATATCTGTGGAGTGTCCACGTTTCGCCTGCATCTATGTCAAGCATCCTCAGAGGTAGTGAGGTCTGGTGGAACTAGGAAAATGGGTTTATATATCTGTGGAATGACCAGGGTGGGACAAAGGACTCTTGTCTGCTGGAGCTAGGTGTGAATGTTTCAGCTGACCACCTTGATTAGCATTTGATGGCCTGGCAGTGCCTGGGGCAATCTTTTGTTGAGAGGTGATTAGATGTCGCAGATGGTTTCCTCTCTGCTGTTTTGCTGTTGTAATTTTAGAGTTTTTAAATACTGGTAGCCAGATTTTGTTCATTTTCATGGTTTCCTCCTGTTTTTATATTGTTTTTATATTGTTTATACGGTTTTATACTGTTTATACTGTTTTATACTGTTATTATTACATTGCTGTTGATTGTATATTTATGTTTTGATGTGGGCCAGGCCCGTAGCCAGGATTTTGTTTCGGGGGGGGGGGG